GGTCTCTGGTCTGGTCAGCTGCTGGTGGCGTGAGTGGCTAGTGTTGATGGAGTTGCCATAGCAACATTGCATCAGACATGATAGGAATGAACTACAGAATCCAATGGAATTAAAAAAGGGAATTTATCTAGAAGCTTGAACTTGAGGTGTTAAGTGAAAACAAATCAGGACTGTGTACATGCTAGTACATACATACATGGCACCAGCATGAACTTTTATAATAAATAATAATAATAATGGGTTCTTAGGCCAAGTGAAAAAAAACCCAGTTGATCGTCTGTTTTTTTTTTCAAAAAGAAGAGGATGAGGCCTTTGTGTTTTTGTATTATAATTTTTTTCTGAGATGGTCGCCTAGTAATAGTATGTAAATTCAAACTGGTTGCCAACACTTCGGTTCAAAATAACCTCCAGTTTTTAATTAGCTATCCTAATACAGTCGAGTCTCGTTAATACAAACTCGTTCGGACCTACCCAAATTGTTTGTTATATCAGAATTTTGTATTAAGAGGAACATCAGCCCCATTCATTGTGCATATAAATGCACAGTCGGGACTGAGGCTATTTGTTTGTTATAACCAGAATTTTGTATTAACAGAGTTTGTACTAACGAGATTCGACTGTAGTAAGTACAGTAGAGTCAAAATATTCGTTTTAAACATAAGGCCAAAAAAAAAAAGTCTCCGGTTTCTGGTATGCGCGCGCGTCGCCGTAGCCATGCGCGTCGGCAAAATGAAAAAGTTTTTTTTTCAATAAAAGATGATGTCTCAAAACCGCCAAACTCACTGGTTTGACTGGAATCCTGCTGCTGCACAATTTTAACGTGTTTTTAGATGGGGTTATGATCGAGAATAAGCTTTATGTGGCCTCTCTGGACTCCCATATATTTGCACTAAGTTTAGTCGGGCACCATTTGCAGTCATCAGCCGACATTTGAAGCAAAAAAAACAGGTAAAAAAAAAAAAAAAAGCTGTGTCGCCGCACCACTTTTTGGGCAAGCTCCATACCAGAAACCGGAGACTTTTTTTTTGGCCTAAGGGAAATACAAGAAATATTCAGCTTTTTGAGGTGATAAAAAAAAGATGTGGATTGGGACGATCAACTGTTCCTTTTTTTTACTTGGCCTTTTATAGCTCTTTTAAAGGGAATATACATCATTTGCTTTTGCTGTAATTTTCAGAAATGGATGGAATTGGGGGGTTGGAAATATATAGCAGATATAGTTACACTGACTTTTTTGAGGTTTTGGGTTCAAAAATGCTATAAAAACCAAGAAAAACAATCATTTTCCGGGAGTCTGGTTCCCTGACTCCATTGAAGAAGAAACAGAGCAGTTTACATACATTGGGGAATTGTAAGGTCAGGGAACCAGTCTAGCTGGCTTGTACCCGTTCATAGGCGTGTAATCGATTGCAAACAAGTGCGATGGTCAACTGGGGCCAGTATTTGAAAAAAAGCCAGTTTTTTTCCAACGCTGATCGGCCGATCAGCGTTGGAAATTGATACAAAAATACCACTTTTCTTGAAAATGACAGTATACCAGGTGCCATGATTTTACAGGATGCTTTACACTGTCATTCACTAACAGTCCAGCAAGGTATTTCAAAATGATTCGGTAGTTTTATTTTTTGATGTTTGCAAATGTTGTATTTTCCCTTTAACTATAAGATCAAAGCGCTTTACATCATTATTACCCCTGCTCATTGGGCCATTGAAACATTCCCAATACAATCTCATCTCCCTGGGGAGTATACAGCTTGATGCTGTCATTTGGCCACAAAGCAGATCTACAATCAATCACAATTTAATCAACGCTGGGCTCACAGGTACCCATTTACTCCTGGGTGGAGATGATCCGTATTTCAAAATAATGGTCACCTCTGGAATTGTCCCAGTTTGTTAAGGTTCATCAGTTGAGATTCCAGCTTTACGGTGCATGCAACTGTGACCATTTGTCACGATGTAATTTATAGTGCTGTTCATTTCTTTGCAGCTGGTACTCCACACTTGATCAAGCTGTACTTTCTCTGCATGTATCCATGCACGAGATTATAAACAATTGTATCAATTGATGCATAATCATGAAAGCAGCAAAATAATGTTAAATTGAAGGACAATTGCTCCTAATTTCTTTTGAATTTTTGTGTACCATTTTTGATGGATCATTATTTTTTTTGGTCAATAAAATTTGAAATGGTCCTCTCATGTGTTCAAAATGCATTTTTCCCTAACTCCTAAGAGTAAGAGTTCATTTGGAATACAGTATCACATACATGTACTACAAAATAATTCAAAAATACTACAATGTACTAAAAATATTATGTACATTTTGTAAATGCAGGTACCCAAATGTATTACGAATGATGTGCTCACTTATACTGAAGTAGTATACATGTACATGTACATGTACATGTAGCATACTACAGTATACTACTACTAGTATTTTGTAGCTTTAGGTGAGGTAATTGTTAATCTTTTTACAAAATCTTTTTTTTTAATTTACAATTCCAATTATTTGGATCAAGTCTACCATGTATTCATGTTCAGTGGCCACTAGTGGGATTGGGCTGTGGGCTCTCATCTCCAGCCAGCAGTCAGCATTCATCAGGATGACTGTCAAATGACTCATGGTCCGGGGCCACTCAGTGACAGACCACTTTACAATGTATGTGCATAAGGAGTGTGAGGTCTTTCTGTCCAGTTTGCACATGCATGTATGAATGACAAGCTGATTTACCCGATCATAGATCGGGTAGGGCGTATTTGTGTTGGGGTTGAAAGTGTGGGGAGTTAAATGTAAATGGGGGATTTAGTTGAGAAGACATGTAGCTATAGAAAAGCAATTTACGGTGACGCGATCTGAGGCAATTTCTGACCACGTACGATAGTAAAACAAAAGATCATCTTTTAAACATCATTTTCGAGTTCGGAGTCATTGAATCAGCTGTTCTGAGCAAAAGAATATTATAGTAGGCTACAATTTTTATTCGGGGAAGAAAAAGTGGGGGTAGGGAACCAAACGATATTGCCCGCTTTAAAATGTTGGGGTGGGGGTCCCCCGTCCCCCACTGATTGACGCCGCGCCCATGATAATAAAATTACATAGTCTGAATCATGGAGGAAGGTCATTATGAAGGTACAGTATTGGACTCTTCAACAAACGTAAACTTGAACTTCTTACAATTTGCGAGACCTGCGAGGAAAAAGTCGATTTAACTATTTTATTCAAGTTGGCATGGTTCAACCATAATATAAGCGGGCCAAACAGCCAACAACCGCCAATATTATTATTTATGCACTCTTCGTTATTCCAACCCAACATAGTTCAAAGAGCACAATATTTGAAGCAATGCATCGATCCCTCGTTGATTTACCCGATCATTGATCAGGTAGGGCGTAGAGTTGGGGATGAAAATGTGGGGAGATGAATGTAATTGGGGGATTTAGTTGAGAAGACATGCAGTTATAGAAAAGCAATTTCTGTGGTGCGATCTGAGGCAATTTCTGACCACTAAAACAATTTTTCGTTTGCAAAAGATCATCTTTTAAACATCATTTTCGAGTTTGGTGTCATTGAATCAGCTATTCTGAGTAATAGAATCATTATACATGTAGTAGCTACAATTTTTATTCGGGGTAGAAAAGTGGGGGGAGGGGACCAAAACAGTGTCCACCGCTTTAAAATGGGGGGGGGGGGGTGGAGGGGTTCCCCGTCCCCCACCGATTGACGCCCATGATAATTATGTACCATGGCAACAGTCTGTAAATGTTCCCGTTGGTCTGTTAAATTGGCATTTTGTGAGGCAGTGGCATTTGTGAGAAAACGTACTGGAAAGGCTTGCCGTAGTACACAGGCGAAGGCTGATTAGGAAGGTCATAATTAAGTTTCAGTATATTGGACTCTTCAACAAACGTAAACTTGAACTTCTTACAATTTGCGAGACTGTCTGCGAGGAAAAAGTCGAGTCAACTGTTATTCAACTTGGGTCAACCATCTATATAAGAGCAAATTTTACTCGGCCTCCGAGAAATGTTTGCTCCTGAAACGATCTGAGACCGCGGTCTTTCGCGACGCCAAAATCGCTCCACGTCCGTGGAAAAATGTGGAGGGTGTCTTCCGCCGGATCGGACACATTTTCGTTGATTTTTTTTTTGTGACTTCGTTTAAGATCGCGATGTTTGAAGCAATGCATCGATCCTTCGTTGATCCCAGACAGGCCCCCGAAATTATAACGCAACACTGTGGCGGGCAGCGAACTCACAACGCTCAGCCTTGGTGGAAGCATGGAGCTGTATTAACACACGATGGAAGCAACAGAGCACTATACACGTCACATGCTTGTGCTTCAAATCATGCAAATAGCGAGCACCGTAGACCCAACCTCGTTTCCAGGGTGTGGAGCAGGCTGCAGTACGCGTTGCCATCGAAAGTTTTGCATAGCCCGGAAATACTACGCAGTGTAGACTTTCGATTGGTCAGACCGCGCAAGGCATACTTAATGTGTAGTCCTTCTGAGTATTCGTTGCACTCGGCGCAGGGGCGGCAAGCGAAGCCTATGAAAGAATAGGGGCACTTGGTGGCCACGCACCATGGAGAAAAAATATTTTACCAAGGTCACCCCATAACACAATTTGGTGAACGCTTTTGCAGAACGGCTGAGTAGAACACGTAAACGGAACCCCTACGTTGACCTCGCTGACCTCGCACAGTCTAGACACGCAGAGAAGCCAGCACAGGGGGCGGTCAGGCAGTCAACGTGAAAGCGCACACGACGGCAAATTCCTGCGAAAAACGCAGTCACGAAAAATAGACGAAAAGGATCGCCGGTCCGTACGGGAAAATCAGGACGACCCGAAGCGTCCGACCCGGCGGAAGACACCCTCCGTATTTTTCCACGGACGTGGAGCAATTTTCGCGCAGCGGGAGCCCGCGGTCTCGGATCCTTTCATGAGCAAACATCGTCTCGGAGGCCAAGTTAAACTCTCTCTTATATATATAGATGATGCGTAATGATCTTGCCCTCCCAACTGGACAGGAATACTGTGGAGAGGAATTTTTAGATTCTACTGGAAGACTGAATGAAGGATCTGTAGCAGATGTTGCAGGCATAGCTTGTCTGGTCGGATGCTGATTTGTGAGTGTGATTTCCAGTGGCAGGATCTGGAAGCGTTGGGCCATTCCTTGATTGAAAGCCACAAGGAGCCGTTGAGCAAGACCAAGGATTTCATAATCTCTGTCTGTTTGGTGTATACATGTAGGTGTACTGCATCTTGGATTGTTTACGATCTGGTTGTTTTCTTGGTAAGTTTTTTCTCCAACTTTGATAGAGGTGCTCGTTGCATCAAGTAATGTACACATCCTTAATTAAAGGCAATATACAACATTGGCAAACATCAAAAAACAAATGTACCAAATTATTATGAAATACCGTACTGGACTGTTGAGTGGCAGTCTAAATTCAAGTAAAATCATGGCACCTGGTGTGCTGTCATTTTCAAGAAAACTGGAATTTTTGTATCAATTTCCAACGATGGTCTGCCAACCATCATTGGAAAAAAACAACCCTGTTTTTTCCCTTCAAAACTGCCCCAATTTACAAAATTTAGTTAGATCACATTTGTTTGCAATCGGTTACACATTGGTGAACGGGTACTACAAGCAAGCTAGACTGGTTCCCTGACCTTACAATTCCCGACGTCTTTAAATTGATCTGTTTCATCTGCAGTGGGGTCAGGTACCCAGACTTCAAGAACATGGTTTTTTTTGGTGGTTTTTCCAGCATCTATGAACTCGAATCTTTAATCAGGTCAGTGTAACAATATTTGCTATAAAATATTCACCCCCAAATCCATCCATTTCTAAAAATTACAACAAAAAGGAAATGTTGTATTCCCTTTAATTTGTGTACCTGTCAAGATCTATGTACAAAATTGTGTGTTCACATACAGTCTGTGGAGGTGTAGTACTGAAAAATAATCCTGGCTAGCGAAAACAAGATTACCATGTGATTAACATGATTAAGTTAACCGGCCTACTTTTACCGTATTGAGTAGTGTAATATCACACTACACTGACTACAGTGTCGGTTATAAGTCCATCTAGGCCAATTTCCTAGGAGTTGCTCAACAGAAATTAGTTTGGCCACGTTGAGTTTAATATGACAAGTACATTACCTCTAAGTCGTAAAGGCTGGTTTATACCGTGTGTGAAAGTGAATGCTAACATGAATTTGTGATATATCACAGTAAGTTTTCGCACTGCAAATTTGCAGCAGTTGACCACATTTCAGCTCGTGCAAATTTTGCTGGGAGTGCTTCGTGATGTCAAATTTGCCTTTCTTTCGCATTGCATGTCAAACAAGTCCATGTGCTGTGCCATTTGGAAAAAAAATGAAGAAAGTACCAGATTAATGCCTTCTTCACTAAGGATACATGGACAAATACATTTAACCGTTTAAACGAAACAAAAACTCTAAATCTGTTCACAAATTTTCCGAAACATTTAAATGAAGCCTGGAACTTTTTGAAAACGCTAAATTACTTTTACTCGATGCATTTCACAAAGAATAGAGCCGGGTTCCTTTAAAGATTTAATGTACCGGTACAAAGCATTAATTACAAGCAGGACAGTAATTGATCACATTACAGTCAGTTAAGTCTTTTCATTTCCAATGACTGCCAGCTGTCTATTGTGTCAATTAAATGTATACAATGTATACAATATATACAATTTATTGTGTAATATGTTTCAATATGCTATTAGGAATAAAATTACGAATTCTTTTAACAGGAGTGCAAACACACTGGTGCAGGCTTCAGCCTTTGTGAAACTGTGTTTAAACGTTTAAATGTTTAGGCCCCCCCCCCCCAAATTGTTCTGCTTCTGATTACATGGCATTTGAAAATAGGGTACATAGGTACGTAGGGATTTTTGTTGTTGTTGCATTTTTGTGTGTGTACCGGTACGATCATATGGAGGTGTCTGCGTGTAGTAAAGGGTAAAAGGTAGTATTTGATGGTTTTGTTTTTTTTCCCTCATTTTTCCCAAAAAAGAAATTAGGGTAGGGGCTGTCAAAATAGGGTAGGTACCCTAGGGTAACGGGAAGCAGAACTATTTTTTTTTTTTTGGCCTTAGGGATGTGCATTTCTAGGTACCCGATTAAAAACATGAGTACCCAATTACCCGTTAAAGAAACCCAATCTTATAATTCAAATCTCGGAAGTAGCTATTAAGATTGTTCGTATACATGTATGTCTGCACAATAATACTGCCACATCTGTGCATAAATACAGAAGATACAAATGTGTACAGTGAGCTTTGTTACGATGTAAATTGTAACTTGTGCGAGCGCCACGTATTTGCGAAAAATGCTTTGTTTTCCTGGCCTTCCCCAAAATGCCCTAAAAATTCCCCACAAATGACATTCAAAACCTGTCTCTCTCGTTGTCGGAGAAGTTACTAAGTAATTTGTAAAGTTGGCCACATATTCGGGAAACGGTTTCTAACATCAACGGTGCTGTAGTCGGGTACCCGGTTCAAATGCACAGCCTTATAAATTATGTGCTTACTGGGTTTGCTAAACGTTTGCAAAATTAAACGCAAAGTCCCATCCACATTCATCACATTCATCACATATGACCAAAACGGATCTAAGAAAAACCCGAAGTGAACTTTTTCGGGAGTGATTTCGGAGACTCTCTTTAGTTAGAGGTTGTTTTTATCTCTGCAGGAGGTACAATGCGGGATGCCGGGGTGAACCAAATAGTTCAGTCAGTCAGCCCTGGTAAAAGCACCCATGAGTCATGCTCAATAGTTCACTGACCTGACCACAAGAATTCCCTTGCCCAGTTGCCATGGTTACGGGGCTGGCAATCAATTCTTAGCTGAAAGAATTTTCCTTCAGAATTGATTTTCAGATATGGGGGAATTTTTTTAAGTAGAGATCTGAATCTTTTAATGCTTGGATGGAAAGTACAACTTGGATAAAACATAGCTGTGTCCATTTGAAGTGAGTTCAAGTTGATTGCTTATAAATTGTGGGGTTTGCGAGGTTTCTAGATTGGATGCAAAGTACTCCTTGGAAAAAAAAAAAATGCCAGAGTGTACTTTTTGCCGTCTCCATTAATTCTCATCTTCCCAAATCCTCCAAAATCTTCTTTGCAAATTGGAGGACTTATTAATTGCAGGATTGAGGCTTTATGGCAAAAATGTGTGGCTGATTTGGAAGAAGCAGAATTTTGTGTCAAAGTCTTTGGCCAGACCTTGTGTTGTTTACTCTCAGCCGTGCATAAATTTAGGCCTACCCCCGGTATATTATACAGTGTACATGTACTTGAAATCCTCCACACTACCCCAAGATGTCGCTGATCTGCCTCAACATATTGACAGCGATTGCTGGAGGATTTTGCAGGATTGAGGCAGTGGTCACCCCTCCAAGGACCACATTCCAGAAATAACACAGGATTGAGACAGTATGCAATTTTTACATGGAGGCAGTTGGAGGATTTTGCATGATTGAGGTTGCATCCTAGCAAAAAAAAATAGAGTTAATGGTGTTTTCAAATTGTTGCCGTATTTTTGTGTGTTTGAAAAGTTCTAGAGAATTTGTTATCCATTTTTTTTAACAGATTTTTTTTTGAAATTTTGGTTCTAAAAATACAGATTCTTCTGCTAGCGCTTTTAGCACAGAAAGGTGATCATAAGCCCGGAATGCGGTGGTTAGCAGGCCATGAAATTTAGCACATGCCTCAAAAGATAGCATTGTACATGTGAATGTTCATGTGTAAATCTGGGAAGTGCATAAAGATTATTTCTCGCTCTGCAATCATTGCATGGCAGAGGTTACATCTCAACAGGCTAAAGGTCACTCAGTCACCCCCCCCCCACCCCCAGCAGAGCTAGATTGCAATATAACAAGTGTTTTGTGGGAGGCATCCCACAGGTTGTTAGACCGTTGATGGAATGCCGAGGACCCATTGTTCACAGGTTGTTGACTTATGCGAGGATATCCGCTTGTAACGATTATTGATTTGCATTGTTGGGGTTTGTGAGCCTAACTGGAGTGGGCAAACACAGATTTATGTGATTGATAAATACGCGGCCTGCAAACCCAGCCCACAACTCCATTCACAACACAGCTACCCACGCTGATCAGGTAGGGTACCGGTAGGTCTAGATACAGAGGAATTTATTTGTGATAACCGAGGGAAAATAGTTTTTTTTATTCTTCCATGTGATCGCTGATTATGCATGCACCAACAAAACAAGGGTCATTCCATACATTTGGGGTCCAAAACTGTGATATTTTGTGCCCTAGCCTACCGGTACACCGCGTTATGGGGAAGTTTTTTATTGTTCGGCAAATTAGGACCAAGTTATGGGGACTTTCTGCTGTCCGCACAGCAGGTTTGGCCCCCACAAATGCCTCGTACAGACAATTGTATGTACCCACAACTATGGAACAAGATAATGTCTGTGTCCCCATTATTCACCTGACCTGTGAAATTTGCCATGCAAGTCTCATAGCTAATTTTTTTATTTGTGTGGCAAGTAGTTTGCTTTTCATAATCACTCTTGGAGATTGAAGACACTAACTCAGGCATTTTTGTTACATGTAGGATGTAACCTAATCCTGCAGAATCCTTCAACTGCCTCCATGTAAAAATTGCATACAACCTCAATTCTGCAAATTCCTCTGTTATTTCTTGAATATGGTCCTTGGAGGGGTGACCACTGCCTCAATCCTGCAAAATCCTCCAGCAATCACTGTCAATATGTTGAGGCAGAGCCATTGACATCCTGGAGCAGTGCTGAGGATTTCAAGTATAATCTATGCCTAAATTTATGCACGACTGAGCATAAACAACACAAGGTCTGGCCCAAGACCTTAACACAGTGCATCCTCCAAAATCAGCCACACATTTTTGCCATATGCATGTAGTCTCCATCCTGCAAAATCCTCCATTTTGCAAAGAGGATTTGGGAAGGTTAGGATTAAAGAATGTGCCCTGAATTTACAAAATCTTATATCGGATGTACATGTACATGTAACAGGAACACGAAAAGAAAAAAATTGGTCCCAAATTTGGAATGACCCACAACCACACTTGTGAAGTTGAACATAAAGAGTGTGCACACAAACATACTGTTCATGTACATGAAGTAGAACCATCAAATATGCAGGTCGTGTGCTTGTAAACTACATGTAAACAGCAGGCTTAGATACAGAGGAATTTACGAGTGATAACACTGCAGTGAAGACGGAACGCAATACTCATCAGCAAGTAAAATTCCACACAAAAAGTGCTCCTGGCACAGTGGACCTTAACCCTAACCACCCCAACTCCATCAAAATCCATCCTTCCATTTTGGTGGGTTTCGGGGGACTTGCTCCAGAAGGCCTGGCGTGACTAAATATTGATGGAGTATGATGGGCCTAATGGCCTGAAGCAGTGCTAGGGGTATCAGATTGATTTTATGTGATAACAGCCATGTGTAGCAAGTCCATGAATGTCAACCAGTGTGTCAGTGGTGGATTCCATCATGTCATGTACAGTTTTGTATTGGACACCCAGTGATTGATGGATTTTGATGGACTTGGTCCAGTTCCTAGAAAAAGACGCTAGGTTAAGGAAATAACCGATTTTCATGCAGAGTGTTAAATTCCTAAATGCAAATTTTAGTTCAAAATTTGACAGCACATTTTTCCTGATACAAACAGTTTAAAATACCGGTAGTGTGAGATCTGGCAGACCATAGTTTCAACCTTTTCAATACCAGCACAGTTGCGAAAGCAGTATTTATAGCCATTAAAGTATTTTTAATGAAGTTGGTGCCGAAATTTGTTGTACTGGTACCATACATGTTACATGTATGAACAAGAATTGTTTTGACTGTTTTACATAATTTATTGCCAATATACATGTATGTTTGCTGGTATGCATCCTTGGTGTATCATTTTCTTTTTAATCCTAACTCCCTGCTAGGATGTACATGTAACCTCACTGTAAAATCCTCCAACTGCGTCCATGTAAAAATTGCATACAGCCTCAATTCGCCAAAATTCTCCGTTATTTCTTGAATTTGGTCCTTGGAGGGGCGACCACTGCCTCAATCCTGCAAAATCATCTGACCACTGCCTCAATCCTTCAAAATCATCTGACAATAACTGTCAATATGTTGAGGCAGAGCCAGTGACATCCTGGAGCAGTGTGGGGGATTTCAACTTCTAGGCCTAAATGTATGCACAGCTGAGCATATTAACAACACAAGGTCTGGCCCAAGACCTTGACACAGTGCATCCTCCAAAATCAGCCACACACTTTTGCCATATAAAGAATAAAGAGTTTTCACACCTTCTGTCATATCTTTGGACAGCTACAGTTGTACATGTAGGTTTCTGCATACATTGTCAAAGTTGAGAATTGTGAATCTGTTTCCGTTTTCTTAGACAAGCTAGTATTATCCTTGTACTGATAGGGCCAGGCCCTTGTTTATTCATGGTAAACGTTTTGGACACTGGTGCAAGGAATTGTTCTGATGTCCTTTCTAACCAGTCAAGATTTCCTCTGTCTTGAAAGAATTCCAAGGCCTTCTCTGGCTCTTCATGGTCGAATTGCTCGTAGTTTTGGTCACTTGTCTATGAAACTGCGGAATGATAACAGGAAAGTTCTGATGTCATCAAATCAGCGTGTTATGTGCATTTATTCCCTAGACTTTATCCCCCTGAAATCACAACAACTCTAGTTCACATTTTGATTGGACTCACTTTGAATAATTTGTAAAAATAATTTCCCGTTAAGACTTTTGTGAATTCCTGCTTCCGTTCTGCATTAGCGCTTCCCGCCTGTTCCTGAGGCGCAGTTGTCTGGTCTTGCATCTGTCCTATTATACTATCGCTGAGACAGTCAGTCACATGTAGGTTGTCCGTTCGCTTCAAACAAACAACCAAAACAGTGCCAAATAAAGACGCCGAGGAAGAAGAAGAAGAAGAAAAAGAAGAAAAAGAAACAGAGCCGTGGGGGAGATATAAAGCAACCCGTCACATTCTCTAAAGATGTTTTTGTTGTGGCCCACACAAGGCCTTTTCGCATGGGGGGATCAGCCTCTGTCGATTGTCCCAGGGAATTCTTATTATAGTGCTTCCCAACCCTGTGGGGGGAATTTGCCGTTCTGTAAGGGACGTCTACTTATAGGGCCTACTCTTTTCAAATACTCCGCTATTTTCTGTTCAGGGGGGAAACAAGGGCAAAAACATTTAACCAGTCTGTCCCGCTTTGATAAAAGTGTGAGACCCTCCAGGGCAACTCTGAGAAAGTTGACAAACCTCATTTTGGTGAATTTGCACTGATATTCGAAAGCACCTGAGGTCCAGTGGATATATTTGGAAGGGTGATTGTTTTGCGAAAATAAATCATGTGCTGTGGTCATATTTAACTACAGAGTCTGCCTTGAGGGTAGACTTCTATTTTGGCAGTACATTTCACTTTCATTTTATTATCGGGTTGCATTGCATGAATGTACAGGGAGTAAGTATGCAAAAGTCCTACTTTTGATTCTAAATAACTCTGTTGTTTACCAGTGGAATTAAACCAAAATTTCAGATTTTGTAAAAAAGGCATGACAACTTGTATGGAGCGATTTTCATCAACTTTTTGCAAGAGGGTGAGATTTAAGCACCATACAAAAAAAAAATACTCTTTTTCAGAATGTTGATACAGCACTGGAGAGGGTGGCGGAAGGGGCGTGCTGCGGCCGAAAGCTTCTGAAGGAATGCAGGATCACCCCTGATGTCATTGCACAGCTCCTCGATCGTGTGTTGCGCCGAACGATCGAGGAGGTGTGCAATGACATCAGGGGTGATCCTGCACTCCTTCAGAAGCTTTCGGCTGTAGAACCAACTTCCGCCACCGTCTCCAGCACTGTATCAACATTGGAGAACCCCAATTCAAAAGTGGAAGATTCTGAAAGTGATTATTTTTTTCCTTATGGCGTTTAAATCTTACTCTCTTGCACAAAGCTGATGAAACTCGCTCCATAAAATTGATCATGCCTTGTTTACATGATCTGAAATTTTGGTTTAATTCCGTTGGTAAACAACAGAGTTATTTTGGATGAAAAGTAGGACATGTTGTTTTGACACGTAGTATTTTATCCATGCGCTAACTGATTTCTTGTTTACATTCATATTGGTTTCCACAAGAATAGACCTAGATAATAATGTCATGAGTTGTTTACATTGATACATTTTCTTGTGGGTGCTTAGTGTCGCTCGTTTACAAACACAGCAAAACAAAACAAAAGTTGTAAACAAAACATAAAGTCATTGTGCCTCGGGCCTATTTCAGTACCTTAAAAAAAAATAAGCATGATTGGAAAAGCTACCAATCTCTCTCCGGATACAAAAATATTAAAGTTTTTTGCATTAAAAAAAATTGCCTTGCATGTTAGCAATAGTTTTTCCGGTTTTCCAAAGAAAAAAAAAACAAGCAAACGTAATATGTATTTCTATCCCTCACAAATTAAACCAGATAAAAAAAAAAAAGAAAGTTTCTCATCCGAACTTTTTGAGAAAAAGGTTAGGATGTGGACACTTTTTTTGGCGGTGAATGACGGATCCAAGGTGCCGGATGGCCTTTTAATTTTTTTTAAAAACATCCACCGGTTTTGCGAGATTTTTTCCAAGATAGCAGACCCTGTTTTTCTTTTTTTTTCCCCCTAAGACTAGCTTTTTAACCTCTATTTACTCTTTCATGTTGGAAACAAATTTTAAGGCACAAGAAATTTCTGATGGTGAAAATACATGTATCAGAAAGTACAGGATTTGCTGTCAAAAAAGTGAAATTTTGATTAAAATAAAACAGAAAAAAAGGGATGCGGGGGGACGAGAACCTGGTATATTTTTTTATTTGGCCTTAATCGAAAATTGACAAAAATATGGGACAGTTTACAGAAAATGCACTTGATGAAATTGGTACACTGTAGAGATATCCACATACATTGTATGTAATTATGTTAATGTAATTACATGCATTGTATGTATACGTCTTGCACATTGGACTCCTTGACTCAGAAGACGGTAATTCAAGGCTTGAGAGCACAAAGGAATGAGTCAGAGCCGTGTCCGATTCACTCGGCTACGACTTGGAATACACACGCGCCAATGGAAACAGCTGAATCCATATCTCATAGACATGTGTGTTACCGGCAGCCGCAGCCATGAAATGCGGTCACAGCCTTTAGAATTCATCCACATATCACTCATCCATGCATTCACGGCCAAGGCTCAGTCTCGACAAAGTGAACCTCGCAATTTCCTAAGATTAAAAAATAAAAGGTCTTCAGTGTTGGGACTGAAATTTGCCTGATTGAGGTTTGAAGAATTTCCTCTCTCACTGACGACGGCAACATTCTTTTGTTTGTGTGTGCACAGATCAAAGGGAGGACATACAGAAGAGGACCTTCACCAAGTGGCTTAACTCACAGCTATCCAGGGTAAGTGATTAAAAAAGAAACCACTTTGTGGGCGGACCTAGCAAGCAAAAGATAGGGGGAGGTGGAGGATGTTAGAAAGACACATTAAAGTCATAAAGGACCATTTGTATTTATCTCAAAAGTAACCTACCAAAGTATTATCAAAAACTTGCTTGGATTAACCCTTCTACTATTTAAACAGTCACAGACAGTCAAAATTCACTTCCACTTCCCTTGCTATACTTTTAACAAAGGCTAGTCACCAGCAGTCAGATCATATGTCAAGCAAGCACTGTGACTGGTCAAACTGGGTCAACAGACAAAGCAGGCAAGTTGTGGTCACAGCTGTTTTACCACTCACCCAGAGTCAAGGCATAACCGTGTCAAGTTACTTAAACAGTCCCAGCCAGTCAATCCTGCTTTATGTGGGCTGGGAATTCCGAACTGTTGAAAACAGTCACTTGTTTGATTTTGACTGAAAAAGTGAAAGGACAACTTGGCACAAAATGTATGTTTGCAATGGAGGGCTAAAGGATCGTGCTGGTACTTAACATCTCGTGAAATTTTAGCTGGCTTGCTTTCATTTCGAAGAAATCAAGAAATGTAGGTGATTTTCAATTGACTGATTTTTGGAAATAACATCAAAAGGCTGTGCATTCCCTCAAAAAGTGTAATGTCCACTAAGCTGAAACTTCAACGAGTTATGTTTTGAACATTCTTTGGATTTTGAGTGGTGTTATTTATTGGAGAACGAACCGAATGCAAGTAAAGCAAATGATCCTAAATCAGCTAATTTTTGCCAACATTATACTGTACTCATTGTCATGTACAGTGTTGCTTGGGTGCTCATTTGAAAGTTGTCTTTTGCTGTGTCAGTTATAAATATCTAAAAATCTACAATGTACCTAGATTGTTGTGTCAGATGGAAGCAGTCAGTCCCATAAATACAAGGACCTTGTCAAAAAGGCTTTTCTCCAGTTTGCTTGGCCTTTGACGCCTCCGAACAAAAAAAATGCTGTAGCCCCTTGCAGCCACCTCTTGTCAATCCCATGGGTAGCCTCTCAGTTAATAGGGAAAAATCTAGGCTAGGTTGAATGGTTTATTGTCCTGCCTAAAAGTGGGTCACCATCTGGGTCAGCGCACATGTACAGCGTGCTCATCTACGTACAGGTACATCATGAGTGAAGGTGTACATGGGTAGCTATAAACAACGGGTACTTGTAACATTTGAGGTGCAGAGTTGAAAAATACTGCCAGGAATCTGAAGTTTGACTGTTATTGTTACCATTAGTTACTTCATCATAACACCCCTTGCTCTCTGGATGGCAAAAATCAGTTGCACCATCACAGCAGTCCAAATCAATCAAGTGACTCAAAAACCCTTACTCCCTAGGCCTTTTTGCTAGGATGTAGCCTCAATCCTGCAAAATCCTGCAATTGGCCTCATGGAAAAATAGCATATGGCCTCAATCCTGCAAATTCCTGCAGGAATTCATTTTGTGTTTCTATAATACGGTCCGTGGAGGGGTGACCACTGCCTGAATCCTGCAAAATCCTGTGGCAGTGACTGTCAATATGTTGAGGCTTGGCCAGTACGGAGGATTTCAAGCATAATCCAGGCCTATATTTATGCATGGCTGAGCAAAAACAACACAAGGTCCAGCCCAAGACCTTGACAAAGTGCATCCTACAAAATCAGTAAGGCACATTTGCCATGTAACCTCAATCCTCCTAATTCCTCCACTTTGGCAAAGAGGACACATTGAAGGATTCAGGGCGGTTAGGGTAGTTACGAGTTCCCTTGTTAATTTGATACAACCATGCTTTGACTGGAGATGATTGATATGCCAGATGTGGTTACCGCTTTTGTCTGTTGATGGAATTTGACTAATCACAGTGTTTACATGAATGTGATCTAACCGTTTTTTCCTTGCCTGTAAAAACAATGCATGGCAAGAGAAGAGAGAAATAATTTTGACTGTCTGTTAACGATCAAACTATAGTAAACAGTACACAAAAGTTGCCAAAAACAGACAGTGCCTGTTGCCCTACACATTATAGCACATGATAGTGGCCTACATTTTTTTGTACCGCATGAATGATTGAAATAAAATCCTCCTAGTCACGCTGGTCACAATTGTCAAGAGATCATCGTTAGGATACTGTGAAAACACCACAATGCATGCAAGCAGTTTTTACGATCACGCATTTGGGAGTAGTCAAGACATCAAACGCATCCTCACTGAATCGAACCCTCCACAAAATACTGACGCGATTACCGTCACGCGCCGCACGCATTGTCCCCCCGGGACGCAAATCAATACATAGCCCGGTACCCAGCAAGTGATGTGCAGTGATTGATAGTGACAAAGCTGACAAGGTTACCGGTGTGGAGACGAAGACGAAGAAACCCCAAGGATTCACGAGCGATGTAGTTCTCATCAAGGAGCAATCTTCGTCTCCTTTGCCGGTTGCCATAGCAACAACGGGATGCGGAGCTATCCTTAAAGTGGCCGAATCTGTCTTGGTGAAGGACACTTGTACATATATATCGTCATCTTTTTCTAAAACATTTTGTGCCATCTCACATTAGAGATTAAAATAGGATAATTTGCATAACGGGCCTAACTGTGGCCTTATGGACCTCATTAAAAGTGTTTCTTTCTTTTACAATTTAAAGGCAGAGTAGATAATTTGCAACTAACCAAAAAGTGACTAACAAAAGTATTCTTGAAAAGCTTACTTGGTTTAAAGATAGTAATGGAAATGAACTCCATGTGAAATGATTCTTTCTGGCATGCTGTCATCTTAAAAAAAAAATAATAAAGAAGGCAATTTCCAAAGATGTGTCAAGTGACACATTTTTGGAAATTTCCGTTAGTAGTTGGTTGGCAATTCGGCGAATCCTTGAACTGGTGCATGCGAGCTTTAACAAAATGCACATGCGTGTGCGGTTGCTAATATTCGTTGGTTCTGTATATGACACGTACCGCTGCAATGAGAACGTGTCCCTGTCTTAGGGCGCAATTCAAAACATGACCCTGCAACTTTTGAATTGAAATCAAGATCCTAGAATAGTGTTTTCTGATAATATACAGCATTCACTGAGCTAAAACTTCATCAGGTTTACAATGTACCGGTAGTTGTTAAGCACCCTTCTTTAGACTTTGAGCACTTTTGTTGCTTCAAACGAAAAAAAAAAGGCACAAATCACAAATGATCTACCGTACCTTTAAGGATGACGGGAAAATGTACCATGTATTTAACCCAGATACCGTATAAGAATACAAAGTGATGAAGAATTCTAGCATTAATTTTTCTTCCAATATTAGATTATCCAAGGTTTCCATGACAACCAAGGATTCAGAACGCACTGTCAAATTAAGCAGACAAAGCCTGAAGACATGCATCACTTGCATCTCTCAGCCGATACCCATACACATGTGCTGTACATAGTACTAAACTAAGGCCAAAAAAAAAATACTTGGTCTCTGGTCAGACCAAAGTTCCGGGAATTGATGCGGGCGACGCGGCCTTTTGTTGTTTTTTTTTTTTTGCTTTTTTTTTTTTCAAGCTTGGATTGTACAGACAAGGTGGGGTACTATTTTACTTTTTTTTGGGTGTCCTCATGTACATTGGTGTCCTCCAGAATTTGCCTTGGTGCTTTCGATCATTTGCCTTGGTGCAATTTCCCATTCCTTCGTGCTCTTTGGTAAAAAAAATTGAGGAGTTGCGGAAATAGAGGGCGCTGTTGGAGCTACCGTGGAACATTTTGGAAAAAAAAAAGATTGACGCGCATGATTAAAATCGACACGCGCGCTGACCAGAGACCGACTTATTATTTTTTTTTGCCTAAACATGTTGTGTTGGCAGAATATACGTACATGTACAGTGTGTTTACTTGTGTACGTGAAATACCGGTACATACCCAGTATGTTGGCCTAAAGGAACTTTAAAATGGTCTAAACATTTGTGGACAGAAAAGGAAATGTGCAATGCATTGTGTGTCTTGGGATTACCTGTCAACATTCCCTTCCCTTGTATAAAAATCTAGTCTATTCAGTGATATCAGTCCTTTTGCAATGGACCGATCCAGTAAACACCGCCCCATGGTGTTCTGACCAATCACAGCCGTGATTTATGTCCGACGTGTGTGCACAAAAGTCCGACATGCGTGCACATGCGTATGATGCGCGCGGCAGGAAAATGCAGTGTGGCATTGGAGAGGAGCACGTGTTAATTTGGCCAGGGCGTAGTGGGCGGGGCTTACTGGATCGGTCCATTGCCTGATTTCTGGCTCTTTCAAATTGTAAATGGCATATTTCCACCATAAATGTAGGAATGCTTAGAATTGCTTTAGGCCTATACCTCAAATGTCATACCCAAATATGTTGCGATCATGTTTTGTAATGTAGGGCCCTGTTCCCTATAAGATATCAAAATCTACTTCTATTTTATTTGATTCACTAAACTAGTTGGCGACAAGAAGTTATATCATACATGTAGATTGAGAGGAGGGTTTTGAATTTTTGAGGGAAATTCGGGGATGAAATGACGACAACGACAAAACGCAACACAGAAATAATGATGGTGATCACCGAGATGTACCGTGAACGCGCAATGACAATGCGCTAATTGGCAAGGCACCAACTGTAAACCGCGTTCGAAAAATTGCAATTTCCACCCCAAGAAACTGTTCAAAATTACAAAAAAGGTGTCATTGGAATTGAGAGAAGTCTGCATTAGGTTAAAAAGGTCATTTTTGAATGATTAAAAACATCCTTGACTCTGATTTGATCAAAACTAAAGAGGGGCCCTACACTTCACGATCACCCAAAATGTCAGAGTCCTGGTCTATATTTAGGTTTACTTCTATCATTGATAAATATTAAACCAAAAAAAAAATCTGTAAAATAATTCTGTGAAAGAGTTCAGTAAAAAGAATTGTGGAATGTGCTGGATAATCGTGAGACTGCTTGTAAAACATCCACATCCCTTGTTTGTTTCGCTGCACACCTGGATTTCAGGCCCACATCATAAATAAAGGAATGCGTCCCTTTTATAGCCTGTATGTTTAAAGTGGGACAGCCCAGTTCACAGCTTTAACAGGGCCATACGCTAGTGGCTATTTACCATCGCAGATTCCATAGCAGTATCCAGGGTTGTATATTTTGGCTCTGCCTAGGGGATTTTTTATTTTTATGACAAATTATGCAAGCAGGTTTTCTCAAGGACAAAGATTGTACTGATAGATGCCTGTGCACTGGTGCAAACAAAAAACAGAAGAGAGAAAAAGAAAGAACGAACAGGGAAAAAAGGAGGAAAATACAGGATCCTCTTGAGAGTAGCACACAGTGATTTTATTGATGGGAAGTCATCTGTTTGTCAAGTCACAGCATTCACATGGGATTTCCTTGCAGTTTTAGCCCCATGCGGCTGGAGATGATGATAAGGAATAGCCTCAATTTGTCTGGTGACACAGATTCACATGGCCTATTAACATACATAATAGCTGATGGTTATGGCACAGTCTACTGCATAATTGCCCCACAGATATTATGCACTCTCATTCATGTACATGTATACTGTACATGGGCATAGTCTGTGGCAAAAGTATTTAAAAAGCACAAAAGTTTGTTTTTTTGTTAAACCCCCCCCCCCCCAAAAAAAAATTGGTGAAATTTAGATGAAATTTTAATGGGCACAGTCCCATTGTGCGCATTACAATTTCATATTTCACCTTTTAAAAGATGGAAATAACCTACTGGCCTTGATGTATTTTTATGCATGTACAATGTACATGTACGGTACCCTACATTGAACGTGCACGATTACATTCATTCAAAGTGTATTATACCTACATGTACCGGTACTAGTAATACTTGTGTACATGTACATCTGTAATGTACATAAAATTCCTTACTGAGTATATTGCTTGCTCATGTTCATGCATGCCTTATCTTTATGGCCATGTATCTACATTGTACATGTATGCAGTATGGTATGTTCTTGTAAACAATGTGTACAAGTGTATCATATACCGGTACAAGTTCTCAACCTGCAATTCAACAGCACTTTTTGTTCATGGATCACCAAGTTCAATAGTTACACGACTTTGTATACGTGCATGTACATGTAATAATCAAAGAATCTTAAGCAATATTTCCAGCACCATTTAAATTTTTCAGAAGACAATAGTTCTGAACCGAGTAATGCAGAATATGAATATTTTTCGATCATCAATTAAATTTCAATAAAATATTTGAAAAATGTGAGAGGGGTCTCGACATCAACTTTGGGCATGATTTGACAGATTCCATGAAGACTTTTAGCTGGAATTTCTTCTTTGAATGCGTCAAATAACAGCCGTTCAACTACCTCTTCTTTAAGATCTGTGACAACAGGAGGACAACAGGAGATTGCCCGGATGCAACCAGTTTAGGCTGGTGTGTGTTAAACATGTGCAGCACGTTTCAGATACTTGAATATTCGATCAAGTCCGAGTGAGAATAATCGAATACTAAATTATTAAAATATGTACAGCCCATGAAGACAATTCCCTTTAAATTGTAATTTAATTTTATCTGAAATAATAACATCAAAACCACATTTCAGAAAAAAAAAATATGACTGTGAATGATTTTTGTTTCAGGACAAGAAGAGCGACGTTGTAAACGACCTCTTCCTTGACCTCAGGGACGGCAACCATCTTCTGTCTCTTCTCGAGGTCCTGTGCGGACAAAAACTAGTAAGTTTATTTTTTTCCCCCTCCAAAATCTAACGGTTTAAGGGTTTAGGCATATGGAATCGTTTAAGTAACCTACCGAATTTTTATCAAAAAGCTTACTTGGATTAAAGATTGTTCTGGTACTAAACACCCCGTGAAATGATTCTGTCTGTCTTGCTGTCATTTAGAAGAAAACAAGAAAAGTGGATTATTTCCTACGATCATTCAATTGACTGTTTTTGGAAAAACACAAGAGTGCTACGGATGAAGTCGTGTTTCGTGATCAAAAGGTTGTGCATGGATTTTGAAATGCCATTGTTCAGAAATGCCAGTGGAAGCTGAATCTCTACATTTTAGTGTGGATAATAAACTCGAATTTGATTTGATTTAAACTGTTTTCTCGAAGAAGTGTCCACTGAGCCCAAACTTCAACAGATTAGATTTTGAACAAAACTCCTTCTTTAGATTTTGAGTGGTGCTATTATTGGAAACTATCAAACCCATGGCATTGTTCCCTTAAAAAAAAAAGAGAAGATTCTGCTAGGATCAAAATGTCAGGCTATGTAACTTTTCAACTCCTGAAAAGTCAGGATTAGGTCATTGAGTTTACAACATTTAGACAACCAAAATATCAGCTTAACAAGTACACTATCCAACATTTCTCTGAAACTTCTCATGTGTTCGTTTTTTTTTGTTTACAGAAAAGAGAGAAAGGTCATATGCGATTACATCACCTGAACAATGTCAACAGAGCTCTTCAGATTCTAAGTCAACAACAGGTAAATGTTACAAGCAGTAAAAATTCGTAAGATAAGCCGGGAAGGACTTTATCCCCACGACGGATTCCATTGCACGAGATGCAATCTTCCCAAAACATCAACTTGAATTTCTTGCGAATTCTCAACTGCACAGTGCAACCACCTGAGATAACCTTTGACCCTCCATACCCAGTCACCCCGGCTTGAACTTTGCAAAGCCACCCTCATCTGATCTCTGCAATCAATTTGGAAGGGGTGGGGGAACGAATATCATTCAGATTGGCAAGCTACCCTCATCTGATCCGTGCATAGAATCTATGCAATCATTTTGGGGGGGGGGGGGGCCCAGAAATGCCATTCAGATTAACTTGCAAAGTACCATCATCTTAGAACTGCGTAACTATAATCTGTTTCAAGTGGGAGGATAAAAAAATACACCATTTGGAGAAATGTTTGTTGATGTTTTGCATTGTTGACGTGTAGAGTTGAACGGAGAATAAACTACAAAATGGAATAAATTGTGAAGAAATGCCCAACTTCACAATTTTTTTTTTTCATTGTAAACATGTATAAGGAAGTCCTACTACATGGTACTATGTAAGTGGCTCTGAGTTAGGGCATTTCTTATGCATACAGTGAAGTACAGGTATGAACCTGCCTTGAAATTGTATTACATTGTGTTACATTGTATTACATTGTATTACATTGTGTTACATTGTATTACATGTACATTGTATTACATTGTATTACATTGTGTTACATTGTGTTCGTACTTCTTGATGAATCCATAAGACCATTGAGTGCTGGGATGGTTTTGGAACAGACATTTACATCATTACTTATAGGCTATAGCAGGTCTACAGTTCGGCCGCAGCTTCTGAGACCATTTTGAGCTTGATTGTATTACACTGAGTCAAAACCTTGCCCCGAAACTTGGCCGGTTTCCCAGTGAGCTGTTAAGTGTCCGACAGGGGCAATATTTCATAGCTGTGGGTGATGTTTTGGTTGTAATCATAAGTGGGATGTGTAATCCAATGTGACAATACCATTATGGAAAAAAAGGGCATTGTAGGGTTGGGTATGGAGGGTGGGGTGGGGGGGGGGGGGTCGGGGGTGGGGGGGGGGTCGGGGGTGGGGGGGGGGTGGGTTCATTGGGGACGGGGTTATGGGTTCCTGGGGGGGGGGGGTAGTGGGGAAGGGTAGGCAGCGTTGTATGCATTGAACTTTCCGCATCTGTGCTTGCTGAATACAGGAAATTTGTTAAATCAACGACTTCTTGAGTGAATTCCGTTAGGAAGGGAATAGCGATTGTTATCTTTGCTTGCAGGCCTTAGAGATCTTATGGGATTTTCACACGAAGACCCTGGAGTAGGAAAAAAAAAATATATATATTGCTGAATTGTTTCCTGAGTACTGGGATTTCATTGGTTTAGAATGGTCACCTGTCAAGTTTGCTATTTATGGGACATCATTTATGTTATTCAGATGCTGGCACAGTGCGTCATGGGTAGGCAAGGCAATGATTTTGGCACAGTGCCAACATTTTTATGAGGAGATTGAAACTCTGTTATTTCATCCCAACCTCAAAAAGACTGATAATCAGTGCTTCAAGGCAGATGGGTCATTCTTTAAATTCAGGGTCCAAAGTGTGACATTTTTCCTGTCCCTGTTACCTTGGTACTTTGTAAGTAGACCTTTCAAGTATCATTAAGAATGACTTCAAAAGATTTTTGATTTATTGGGTATGTAGTTTGCTATTCATAATCACTCTTGGACGATAGCTGCATTAAAGGGAAGATACAACATCTGCAAATATCACAAAACAAGATGATCAAATTATAACAAAATACCTTACTGCTTTGTTAGGGAATGACAGTCTAAAGCATCCTAAAATAGTGACTTCTGGTGTGCTGACATTTTCAAGGAAAAATGTACTTTTGGAGAAAACTGGCTTTAAAAAAAAAAAGTGCTCGTAATTTTATCTAATTAGTTATTCCACATTTTCTTTGCAATTGATTGCACACCTGTGAAGGGGCCGGTACAAGCCTTCTAGACTGATTCTCTGACCTTACAATTATCTAAAGTCTATAAATTGCTCTGATTCATCTCAAGTGGGGTCAGGGAACCAGACTACAAGAACATGATTAGTTTGTCTTGGTTTTTCCAGCATCTACAAGCCATAAACATGAAACAAGTCAGTGTAGCAATATTTGCTAAACATAACTGATCCTCCAAATCCATTTATTTCTGAACATTGCAGCAAAAGCAAAATGCTGTACATTCCCTTTAAGGAGTACATCCAGAATTACACAATGTCAGATTTATCAGGGACAGAAAAAAAAGTGGAACCCAAAATCATAGAATGACCCAGATACATGTACATGTATTACACCTATACAAACTGCAAAGCTTAGCTTTCATGTGACAAAACATGACCAGAAAGCAAACTTTTTGATTGACTTGTGAAACCGACCAAATGTCCTCCGAATTTTAAACCAGGTTGGCGCCGTCTGTTCCCCTGCGCTTCAACTCCGACAGCATCTGAACTCCTATTCTTCCTTTCCTTCTCCAGGTTCGTCTTGTCAACATCAGTAACAATGACATCGTGGACGGCAACCCTAAGCTGACGTTGGGGCTGGTCTGGAGTATTATTTCACATTGGCAGGTAAGGCTCACGTTTCCCTACTTCTCTTTTTCATCCAATCGATACTTGGCGAGATCGGTTGCACGCGATGGCCTACTCAGACAGAGCCACTGATATGTTTGCTTTTCATGTTAAGTTATTTGGCATTCAACTGATACAGGCGTGGTACATTGCACTTTGTAAAAGAACTAGAATTCTGGAGTATAGAACCGCAGGAATTGTAGTTTATTACCGAATACTCCTTTGCATAGATCAAAAACAAATTTACACTATACCAGCACATGCATTTGTGCATGTACATTTCTACAAAATAGACCCGCAGAATTATCAGTTGACTACTTCATATACCATATCATAAACCAAAACAACTTTGTGAATGGTAACGTAAAAACAAAGACAGCCATTGTTAGGGGCCATTCAGAATAGTCAATGTTAAAAAATGCCGTTCTTTTTTTAGAAATTGTGGGTTGGTGGGTCAAAGGAAATAACTGAAAATTGAAATTCAGTTTTCGATTAAAAAAAATACAAGAAGAAGGGGGAAAAACCCCCAAAACCAGCGTCCCCTTCGAGACCGTCTGTCATGTCTGGGCTGTTCCGTTGTCATCGATAGCCGACCTCCGCGTCTCAATAATCCACCTTGTTCCAACAGTAAAGCGGTAAAAACAAACATGAAACAGCCATCAAATAGGTAGTTTAGATGCGTCTTGCATAAAACGGGTTTAGTGAAATCGGTCTTAGGACGCGTCATACATTGTAACTGAGATCATTCTTAGATTGGGGACTCATCTTAAGTCTTAAGATGACTTGCAAGATAAGGGCATTTCGTGAAATCGGTGCCAAAAATAACTAGGCCAGCGTAATATCAAGTTTTACACAACGAGCCCCAAAAAATTGCATGAATAAACCGGAAAAAACTAGGGCTGGAAATCTTATCCCCCTTCAACACATTTCCTTCAGCACTTTCCTCATATCAACTGACTTGAACACCAACATAACCATTCCGACTTTTAACTCCTCTCTCGCACTCTGGGGTTCAACCCTTCCCCTGTAATAATGCCTTCAGTTTGTTGACTTTTTATCTCCGTGACACTGGTACTTAGAATACCATCCGAGAAGCTGGGGTCAAAAGTTCAAATAACTCGACCCGCAAGTGGTATTGTGTATCAGTGTATGACGGTGATATATGAGGCCTGCGCATTGGGCTGATGTGCCTTTGTGAATTCTGAAGAAACAAAATTTCCAAAAACATCCTGTGTGACTGTGAAGTATTTCTAAAGATTTCTGCGGTTTTAAAGATTTCTGTAGTGTATAGAAAAAGATGGAATTGCCGGTAATGTGTTGAATGAGAGAGTATATTGGAGAACTGACAAACAGAATGAAATGAAGAAAAAAAATGCCATACATAAAATTCAATGAAGAGGATTGGACATACTGTTTGCCTGCGTACATTTTGGTATGCTGCAAAACTACATGTACATGTATGCATTGTACAGTACAAGGCATGTTTTGTTCTGGCTGTTGGACCATTGCATATGTGAACCAACACTCCCCAAATTGGTGCACATATACTCACAAACCTCTTGCTTAAAGACTTTTACCCCTTTTTGAGTTTGACCCCGAATAATACATTTGTTTTTTTTTTCAGTTGCTTTTTTTTAATAAGTTATTCACCTCTGAATGAGACATCGAACAAAAAAGTCCACTGATGTTTAGTTAATACCGAATAATTCTTTACAAAATGTGAAATCATTTGCAAAACGGCCATAGCTCTACTCTTGGGTTTATTTGTGCTCAAAATAAAAATACACATTGGTCGCAATGCTTGCATGCCAGACGCACAAAATGAAAAAAAGAAAGGTTTTTCATTAAAAAAGTAAATATTTAAAGCTTGTGAAGAAGAAGCTTCTTTCTTTTTTGGAGGCACAAAATAAAAGCCCCTTTGGAGGGTTACAAATCCAAAACCGGAAACAAAAGAGTTTCTTCGTAACTAAAATAAATCAAATTGAAATTTCATTAGGGGAGGGGAAAAAGGGTTTGAAGAGCACACGGCACACATCTTTATGTGACATGCCCGGTACCTATACATGTTTTGGTATGTGCTTTATCGTCCTCCACACACGTAGTTCAGTCTAAGTTTTATGAAAATTATCAGCAGCCAAAGGTTTATATTACCTCATAATTACATATTTTTTTTTACGCTGGCTGTTTTGCCTGCAGCATTCCTTGATATACGATAACCCACATTCCTGGTACGCACACGGGCAAATTTTTTTCAATTATGCATGGGTCTCTGTTACACTTCATCAAATTACGTTGACGTTGCATTCATTCGCACACGGACGTGCATTCACTTCATCTGCATATTGAGATTAATTACATACACTGCACTGAGGGGCACGACACATATGTATTAAAGCAAACCTTAGTGAGACATTCCAATAGACTTGTGTACAAAAATCCTAACTTAAAGCCAAAAAAAAGTCTCCAGTTTTTGGTATGCGAGCGCCTCGCCGTAGCCATGCGCGTCGGCAAAATGAAAAAGTTTTTTTTTTCCAGTGTAAGATGATGTCTCAAAACTGCCAAACTCACTGGTTTGACTGGAATCTTGCTGCTTCACAATTTCAATGTGTTTTTAGATGGGGTTACGGTCAAGTATAAGCTTTATGTGGCCTCTCTGGACCCCCATATATTTTGCACTACATTTAGTCGGGCACCATTTGCAGTCATCAGTCAACATTTGAAGAAAAAAAGTTTAAAAAAAGAAAAGCTGCGTTGCAGCACACCTTTTGGGGCAAGCTCCATACCAGAAACCAGCAAGCTAAACAGAATAATTTCACGGGGGGGGGGGGGGGGGGGGGGGGGGGGGGGGGGGGGGGGGTGTTAGTACCAGCACGATCTTTAATCCAATTAAAACTTTTTGATAATAATTTGGTAGGTTATGTTGGGATAAAAGCAAATGATACAACCGGTTTATATTCCTTTAATGAAGTGTTCAGGCCGGTTGTATTCCATGCAAATACAATTAATCAAATTTGACTTTACGAAACATTCTCGGTGAAATTTGGCCAGAGCTGGAATGTGTTCAACTTTTGCGAATTTGCTGTGTGAAAACTTGCCATTTCATCGCAAATTTTGCCTCGGCTTCGCGCAGAGTCGGCTCTACCACATATCTTTAGCCACTTGTGCAGAAAAAAATTCCCTAGTGTCATAGGAATCCCGTAGGTCTGTGCTCTGTAACACTGCACTCCCACACAGATAACACATTGACAAGACCAGAACATTAACCTTTTGCAATTCAAGAAACACGACACGGCTTATCGCCAATTTCTTTTTTGTACCCAACCTAGGGAAAAAAAAAAAAATCCGAAGCTGTCGAGCTCTAGAAATTGAAAACTGGGCCGATAGGCGCGATATCTCGGCAGTAAATGGCAGGGAAACGGGTCGGTCCAGGAATGTTCTTGAATCTGTCAAGACTAAACGTCTCGTCTTGCACTTGAAGACGCTGGCGGCCTAAGGGCGATCAGTGTGTCATTGCAGTGTGTGAATAGTCTCAGATCCAGGTTTTTTTTTCTTCGTCTCTCACTGTCGGTGACATTTAACTGTGAGAGAGGTTAAGTGTTTCTCAATGAAATTTAAGAAAGAAAAAAAGATGAAAGAGAGAATTAGGTTTTAGTAATGACTTGATGATGTGAAAATAATCGAGGCCCATTACAGAATCTGGTTTAGGAGAAAGAAGGGTTTACAAAATTATAAAATAGAAAAGTAACAAAATCTACTATTGACATTACAATAAGGCTGATGATTGCACTAATATGAAAATGATTGGAAACAATTGAAAGGTATGAGATTAAAAGAGAAAAGATAAGTATGAACAGAGCAGTATTGACACAACCCCCCTTTTGTTTCATCAGACACAGACAGTCAAAAATTCAATCCTGTTCCTCTGCTGTGCCTTTTACACAGGCTAGTCACCAACAGTCAGATCATATTTCTTGCAGGCACTGTGACAAGTCAAATTCCATCAACAGACAATAAACGATGGGCACAGCTGACTTATCAATCTCCTACAGTCAAAGCACAGCTACTGTACCGCTAAAATATACGGGCACTTTTCGCGATCGATTTAGCGCGAATATCTCTTCGCGAACGCTGTGCCAAAAACTATATCAGGTTTCATAACAATCACAGCCAGTCAATCCTGCTTTATGAAGGCAGGGAGCACTGAACTGTTAAAAACAGTCACTTGATTTATTTTGACTGCTGGGCTGGCCTTGTTGAAATTTGCCAGCCAAAGTTGAATGGAAATCATCAAAATTTGAAGCTAAAAAATCACGACAAATTCTGGAAAGTGCTTTCTTCGTGAAAACAAAGTTTCCAAAAGCTTATTATTTCAATCTAAACTGAAGCCCTCAAGTCACAAAATAATAGTTTGAATTTTCAGAAGCCTCATTTTCCATTACATGTAAATTACAAATGAAAGCCCGAATCGCTCCGCAAAAACATCTCCAAATCAACAACATCCCTGCAGATCTCAAGTCAATTATTTACACGAACCTGCCCCTGCAAACAATTAAAATATTTTTTTCCTTGGGGGAAAAAAAAAGAAGAAACAAAGAAGAAAAAAATCTCTGGCCTCAGTTAACTCATTAATAATCTTCGTTTCTCGGTGTGGGATTATTGACACGATTTTGTTGATTTCCGGCGCGACTTCATTGTGAATGCCGCAGCGAATTCTTGCAGCGTCACTCGGGATCTAGCGTGACATTACTGGAAATCCTCCGCCCGCACACCGGGGGATGTACTAAGTATGAATTTCCACAGACCAGTGTTTACAGAGGATGTGGAGGACACGTATTCAGATTCATAATGCAATTTGCAAGAAGATGGAGTTGATTTACACATAATGTAAATTACAAATTATCTCACTTGTTCAAATACAGATGTGATGAATACATGTACATCATTGAACTTTTCCATAATTTACCTCGAAAGTTGTTATTTTGTTACCGGTACATTTCAGTTTCGATTAATTTCTTTATCCATTTTTAAATCTATACATATATCTTGTTGGAATTACCGATATATCAGTACTTGTAGTTTTATGTAAATTTCTTTAAAATTTTGTGTGATTGTTCTCGAAAAAGGTGCAAGTGGTGTGTTTGAATTCCAGTACCGAAATGTCAATATTGTTTGCCCATTCATGAATTCAGTTGATCATTTGTTCTTGGCTAATGGCTTCGGCTAATTTGAATGCTCTTCGCTGATAATTTCAATTGATTTGAATGAGCCTAGTACTGTTAAATTTGATGGACATAAATTTGATGGACATATTTTACCGATTACGTGCTTGAAAAACTAAATTGAATTTTCCTTTTAGTTAATCTTAAATAGCATTAAAATTCGCGCTAAAGTGGATTACTCTGAAGCTGATTTGGGTGATAATTTGATTAAATTGAATAGGAAAGCCTATAATAGCCATAATTAATAGTAGCCTATCGTTTCTGGTGACATCACAATGCGCATAAATGCACCCTACATTCTGATTAAAGACATCAATAATGTTCCAAATGAGTGACACGTGAGTGACTTCATTTTTCTCAACACTGATCCCATTACCCCCTGATGTTCTGACGTGACATCTCATAAAGGTCGGCATCCATCTCTGTATAAAACCAAACACCAAATGACAAGCAGTTGCTGTCACCGCCCTCTTCTAAACAAAGATTAACACAAACCCGATCCTTTTATTTTTCCAAACTCTGACAGTAACTTGACTGGCATGTTGATATTTTGACAACATCTCAAATGACTCCTCTGGGTACACTACAAAACCTCCCTCGATCTCCATGACATCCCAAACATAAACGACAGCAGATTTCATGTCCAACCGTGTGGAACAGGTATCAAGTCACACGCTATTTCTTTTCTAGACATTAAATTAAACCCTAACTCCCTAGGCATTTTTGCTAGGATGCAACCTCAATCCTGCAAAATCCTCCAACTGCCTCCATGTAAAAATTGCATACAGCCGCAATCCTGCAAAAGAACCCATTATTTCGTGAATGAGGTCCTCGGAGGGGTGAACACTGCCTCAATCCTGCAAAATCCTCCGGCAATCACTGTCAATATGTTGAGGCAGAGCCAGTGACATCCCTGAGCAGTGTGAAGATTTCAAGTATACACGTACATCGTAATCTGGGCATAAACTTAAGCACGGTTGAGCATAAACAACACAAGGTCCGGTAATATATACAACATTTGCAAACATCAAAAAGCAAAACTACCAAATTATTTATGAAATACCTTACTTGACTGTAAGTGATTAATAGTCTCAAGCATCCTGTGAAATCCTGGCACCTGGTGTGCCGTCATTTCCAAAAAAAGTGGAGTTTTGTGTCAATTTCCAACGATGGTCAGCTGACTGACTTTTTTCAAATACTGCCCCCAATTTACCAAATTTAGTTTGACCTCATTTTGCTTGCAATAAACACAAACGTGAATGGGTGCAAGCCAGCTAGTCTGGTTCCCTGACCTGACAATTCCCCAACGTCTATAAATTGCTCCGTTTCGTCTCAAGTAGTGTCAGGGAACCAGACTACAAGAACAGCATTTTTGTCTTGGTTTTTTTCAACATCTATGAACACAAAACTTTTAACAGGTCAGTGTTACTGGTACCATATTTGCAATAACATACCGTACTTACGCCCAAATCCATCCATTCCTGAAAATTACTGCAAAAGCAAATGTTGCATATTGCCTTTAAGTAACTCTCCTTAACTCTAACATCCAAAACATCAACAATGTAAACAACGCAATCTTAACATCCGACCCATCCCTAACTCATATCAAGACATGAACCAGTTTTTTCCTGAATATCTGGACGTGGATATTAACTTTCCACAACACATTTTTTTACGAGAAGTAATGTAACCGCCTTCAAGTATAACACTAAAACATCTCAATCAAAAGTGATATCAGTCTTAATATTGGGAACACGGATCAAGTCACGCACTATTTCTCTCCTTAAGATCTCAACGGGGATATTAATTTTCCTCGGCGCGGTTGACATCCTCGCCGGGTCAGCGGTGAATCTCTCATCCTTGCATTCCTCCCATTCCCCGGGACGCTCCCACAAGGCAAAACCAGTAGGATCTCCTGCAGTGAAATATTACTTTCTGTATCTTTAAAGGCACGGGCCGACCTTTTATTTTTCAGATGAGATAATTTCTTTGCGTATTGTATGGGTTAATCTTTATTTGTACTTGATGTAAATTGCATGGTTTTGACTCTGCAGGTAGTAGATGAACTGCGCTTATGTGGAAGTACTCCTTTACAGTCTTTCAATTTTTCTTTCAAAATTAAATCAATATATAATAAATACATGCACTGTTTTCCTTGTTTTTGCTGGACGGGAAGGGACAGTCTTGTACTCTGAGGGACTGAGTCCCTGACAGACTCATCACTGTCTGTCTGACTGATTGACTGATTGACTGACTCCCCGACTGACTGGCTCCCCGACTAATTGACTGACTGAGCCCCTGACAGACTCACTGTATGTCTTTCTGTCTGTCGTGGTGTCTGTCTGTCTGTCTGACTGGCAGCCTGACTATCCCTGACACATATTTTAAAGAAACTGTATAAAAATCGCGAAGTAAACATGTTTTTAAAGAAGTTGTGGAATGCTCGAAGACATTTCCGTCATTTTCGGGTATATGTAGCCTAAGGTGTGATGAAATAAAAACGACTATTGTTTCTGTCATAAAATGAGTACAAAGGTACTTTTGAGAGCTGTTTTTCAAGTCCTGTCATGCCTGTTTCGACCCGAACGTGCAATTTGTGTAAAAGTCGTTGTTGCGGGCAGCAAACAAAACACAGTAAATCGTGACGTAATAAACAGGACTCCCGATGTAGAGTAGCATATACGAGACCTGTTTATTTCGTCACGATTTACTGTGTTTTGTTTGCTGCCCGCAACGACGACTTTTACACAAATTGCACGTTCGGGTCGAAACAGGACCTGAAAAACAGCTCTCAAAAGTACCTTTTGCACTCATTTCATGACAGAAACAATAGTCGTTTTTATTTCATCACACCTTAGGCTACATATACCCAAAAAATGACGGATGTCTTCGAGCATTCCACAACCTCTTTAAATAAGAACAATTGGCATCTATTATTTTCACAACTACAAAATTTGAAACCTGAAAGGCCTTGTTCTCAGCATTTTAACTTTTTTGGGGCATATCAATACATGCAAACTTTAAACAGCCATAACTTGTCAACAAAATGTTTGAGTGAAGTGCAAGGAAAATTTGTTCTCTTTCCTAATACCGGCGAACCGTCATTTCGACCTCTCCCCAGCTCCGTCTCATGTTGCCAGACCACCTCACAATTTTGCCGTCCTTTATCAGTGGAAAATGATACTTGTGTTTCACTGATAACATTGTGTGCTTTAATGTTCGCAATGATTTGCTTGGCTTGGCAGGCACAAGAACTTTTGAACACAGAGATGAGTGACAGCAGCAGGGAAACCAGCACCGAGAAGACGGTCCTGAACTGGTGTCGGGAGACAACCCAGGGGTAAGACAGAATAGCGGGGTCAACCAAATCCTAGTTTGAGGCGAAAGATTGGTGAACTTAAGTTTCGTTGAAAGGTTTCTAAATGATCTCGAGATGAAGTCGAATTTAAAAAAGAAAATCTGCCTATGCAACATTTATTTCTAAGCAGTTGGTAGTTTTGCCAGCCTTGAAATAATTAAGATAATTGTTACAACCAAACAGTTTTCGTTTTTAGATTTTTTTTTTTGGGGGGGCCCTGTTGGGGTTGGGTTGGAGGAGAGGGTTGGGAATGGGGGGAGGGTCAGTAGGGCAGAGGGGTGGGAGGGGCAAAGCCGGTGAAGGAAAAGGGGAGCTAGATACATTTTTGAGGGGGTTATGCCGTGCAGCTGCCTTTGAGTACTAGTATGTCAATTTGACAATAAGTTGACCACATCACCAAACTGCAAACATCTTTCGGATCTGCCTCTATACAGGTATAGAAATGTAGACATCCGGAACTTCACAACCAGTTGGCGTGACGGCCTCGCCTTCAATGCCTTACTGCACAAGTACAGGTAAGTCATCTACATTGTATGACAGTGTAATCCAGGTTCTTGTGATAGATCATAGGTAGATCATAAGACCGATCACAAGTCAATCGCAAGTCCAGTCACAAGTGACAAGGGATGAACATTACAAGGGACTGCCTTTGACACAGTTCATTTGAGTAGATTATGAATTGACTTGTGATGCACTTGTGATGTACTTGTGATGTACTTGTGATGCACTTGCGATGCACTTGCGATGTACTTGTGATGCACTTGTGATGTACTTGCGATGCACTTGTGATGCACTTGTGATGCACTTGTGATGGACTTGTGATGTACTTGCAATGCACTTGTGATGTACTTGTGATGGACTTGTGATGTACTTGTTATGTACTTGTGATGGACTTGTGGTGTACTTGTGATGCACTTGTGATGCACTTGTGATGTACTTGTGATGCACTTGTGATGCACTTGTGATGTACTTGTGATGCACTTGTCATGTACTTGTGATGTACGTGTGATGCACTTGTGATGTACTTGTGATGCACTTGTGATGCACTTGTGATGTACTTGTGATGCACTTGTGATGTACTTGTGATGCACTTGTGATGTACTTGTGATGCACTTGTGATGTACTTGTGATTCACCACAAGCATTGTTGTAGTCACGTTCATCACAAGTCCATCCACAAGTCCAGTCACAAGTCCATCAGAAGTCCACTCACATGCCCATCACAAGTCCAGTCATAAGTCCAGTCACAAGTCCATCACAAGTCCAGTCATAAGTCCAGTCACAATTCCATCACAGAACAACAAAGGAATCCCTTTGTCACAGTTCATTTGAGTAGCTCTTGACTTGACTTGGGACTGGGTGACTTGTGAGGACTTGCGATTGACTTTTGTTGGACTTGTGACGTACCTACGATCCAACTACAAAACTGCTCTTTTGATAACATGTGACCTGACTTGGGATTAGACGACTCTTAACTGACTTGCAATGGACTTACATGTAAGATGTAAGTGCACTTCCGATGCAATGCAATTATCTCCACTACAAAACTGCTCTATGAATAGCGTGTGACTTGACTTGCACTATACAACTTGTGATGGTTTTGTGATTGTCTTGTGATGCACTTACGACCCATTATAAGAAGCTTCACTACAACATCCACTGCTCTGTTAACCCTAAAAGGGCCAGGTTATTTTGACCATCTCTGGGGGGGGGGGGGGGGATTCCGCCCCCCCCCCTAAAATCTCGGCCATTGAGTGACAAAAAGCGCCGGAATTTTTTTCGCTGTGCAGCAACCTGTGGTCCGATTTTTATGTTTTATGATTCCGCCCCCCTTTAGGGTTAATGACTTGTGACTAGACTTACGATGTCCTTGTGATGTCCTTGCGATGTCCTTGCGATGTCCTGCACAAGTATCCCGACTGCAACACCGTTCTACGACTAAAATTCCTGGCATGTAGTAATAACGATATCAAGTTACTGACAGGCACGGCCAGGGTTTTGATAACGAGGACACTCTGCAGTCCTTGGCCACGCTAATGAAATCAAATTCCTCTGGAGGAGGGGAATGAACTGATACATGTAAACTGATCCGTTTTGATAGTGCAACGGGACTCGGTCTTTTTTTCTTCATAGAAGAAAAGAATTGGTCTTTTTTCTTCATAGAAGAAAAGAATTGCGCTGATTGTGAGTTTGGCTTGCCTTGAATCGAAATGTGCTGTTCTGCCATGAAAAGAAGGAATTTGATTACTTGTTTTCGTACTTTGCCAGAAAACTGAAGCCCATTTATTTTACCGTAAAACTTTAACCCTGAAAGAGAAATTTGATGTTAATTTTTTTCCAATATCATTGCCCCACATTTTTTCCATGCTGAACCTTTGGGAGGTTTTAACTAGTTGTAGAAAAAAAAGGAAGATTTCGAACGGATTACAGACGGACTCTTGCCTTTTTCATAAAGCTGTGTCGAAAACGTGCTCATGCACAGACCCTAGCTTGAAGTGACAATAACCCATGATTTAAAGGTAGGGAAGATCATTTGTCATTTGTGCATTTTTTTTGTTTGAAGCTTTAAAAGTGCTCAAAATTTATAGACGGGTGCTTAACAACTAACCTGGCGAAGTATTAGCTCTGTGAATGCTGTACATTCCGAGAAAAACAATATTTTTAGGGTCTCGTTTTCAATTCAAAATATGCTGAGTCATGTTTCAAATTGCGCCCGTAATTAGCGTCTGGGATACGTTCTCATTCAGCCGAATGTGATGTGACATGCTGAACTGACCAATAATAGCAACCGTGCGTGAGTGTGCGTCGTGTCAACACTTGCGCGCACCCATTCACGGTTGCGTCGAATTACAAAACCAACTACTTACCAAAATTTCCAACGATGTGTCACTTGACACATTATTGGAAATGGCCTTCTTTCATTGTTTTCTTCAAAATGAGAGCATGCCAGAAAGAATAATTTCACAGGGAGTTTAGTGCCATTGCTATCTTTAAACCAAGTCAGCTTTTCAACAATAATTTAATCAGTTACTTTTTGGATAGCTGCAAATGATCTACTCTACCTTTAAAAAATATGTTGTCAGATTGATCTAAAAATTTGCACACAGTATGGTAAGCATACATGTAAGTAAATGTGAAAGTTTCTCCTAGCATACCCAGTAGGGTCAATGTAGGGTCAACGTAGGGTCAATATCAGGTCAACATTGAAGCCTGCCCAAAATGTGCATCATCTTGACCTACTTCCCAAGCTCAGTGGTTAAAGCTACAGTCTTATCATTTGCAGCTGTCCAAAAAGTAACTGACGTAATTAGTGTTTAAAAGTACATGTATACTTGGTTGAAAAATAGTAAGGGGACTAAACTCCCTATGAAATTATTCTTTCTGGCAAGCTGTCATTTTGAAGAAATCAACGAAAGAAGACCTTTCCAATGATGCGTCTAAATACGCACCGTTAAAAATTTCCGTTAGTAGTTTTTTTTTTTATTCGGCGAAGTGCGCGCAAGCGTTGACACGATGCATACACGCGCGGTTGCTATACGTGTAATTCTTTGGATCAGTGCGCGACATTGCGTAGGTAACTTGTCTCATGTGAGAACGGGTCTCGGATGCTGAATTCAGGCCCAATTCAAAACATGATTCCGCAACTTTTGATTTGCAATCGAGATCCTAGAATGTTGTTTTTCTCAAAATATACAGCATTCACCGAGCTGCAACTTCATCAAGTTAGTTGTTCAGCACCCTTCTTTAGATTTTGAGCACGTTTGTTGCTTCAAACAAACGAAACGCACAAATTACAAATGATGGACTGTACCTTTAATAAAGGACTCTACAGACTCTACATGTATTTTTGTTTGAAACTCTCCCTAACATTCTCTCATCTAGATCTTATCCGTTCGGTTTCATTGAAAGATCCTCATTTATTCTCCCCGCCCAGGCCTAACCTCTTTGACTATGACGGCCTCCTGAAGCTCGACCCCGAGGCCCGACTGGAGCATGCATTCCGCATCGCTCACGAGGAGTTCAACGTCCACCGATATCTGGAACCCGAGGGTAAGTAGATTATCACGATACAAACAGAATGTACGCATTACTAAAAGGAATGTCCCCATTACCAGGCTAAAAGCCACTCCAAGTAAGAGGCAACGGGAGAAACATTTCTGAGAAAAAAAGACGTCGGTCCTGCAGTATTTTATATGTTTTTGTTGTTACAGCCGCTAAAAAGTTTGTTTAGATTGAGAAAGAGGCTACTTTCTTTGAGCTGTTAAGTACAGTAATTTGTTAAGCACAGAAACTGCTTATTGAAAACCGGTTACCAGCTAAAAGTTCATGCAATATGTAGTGTTTGCGACTGTTTCCCGGCTGTTTTTTGGTTAAGCAGATAAAATCTGCTTAGCGAAGTTTACCTGCTGACTTGCCTTAGTTTTCAGATTTCTTTAGAGATTACCTAAGATTAAGTGTGTAATGGTTTAGCACAAAAGGTAAATCTTCAAGGAATGGCCACCCTACCCACCACCCTCCACCCTACTCCCCCCCCCAAAAGAAATTGCTAAACAATGCTGGGTACACCTACGAACTCGACAAAATGCATTCCCCAAATCAACTGACACCAATTGGCCACCCTCCCAACCCCACCCCACCCCTCCCCCCCCCCCAAAAAAAAAATTGGTGATTTTTTTTTTTTAATAATTTTCTGAAGTTCACTTTGTTCCTTAATTGTAATATGTTGTGGAGAGTGTAGTTCTGAAAGTCAAATACACACTTATTTATAACCTTTTCCAAAAAATTGATTTGAAATAATTCACAATTTTTATTTTGAGAAGCATGGTTTGACCCAAATGCACTTTCCACTCGGCACAAGTCGCATAACATTTTTATCCCATGGGCTAAGCGGAATCACACAGTTTCATGTTCTTTTTTTTATGTCAGGCAATATCCTGGTATAAAAAAAATGCGGATCTCGAATGACATCCCCACCTTCCGACCTCTCTACAGAGACATTTCGATCGCCAAAACTTTGTCCTGTATCCATTTCTCAAAGTCCAGAATCCTGAGGGAGACTATTAAAGAATAAAAAAGTTGGCCCAGTTTCACTTCATACCAAGGGAGACCAATTTTTTTTATGATCAAATTAACGAGGCAGTCCGCCTACACAGTTTTTTTTAAGACTTGGAAGTAAGAAACCCGAGATGATATTGGAATATTCTTTTTTATTAAAGATTTTTTTTTTTATGGTGGGTTCTGGGAGTCAGCAAGGTGAACTCGTTATAAGGGTCCAATTTCGTAGTCTGCCTTTCAAGAAAATGTTGCTTACTACAATGTAATTTCCGTGCTGAGCAAAACTGTGCAGGGAACCAGTTTAAGGCCTAAGCTAGAGTTGTATCAAATGTATATAAAAATAACTCCCCCTACAAATATTTTACGTTGTTTCACATTGGTCTTAGGCTCTGAATGTAACGTCCGTAACATTGCCCCAATTCCTCCTGCAAAATCCTCCAATAGCCACCATGTAAAAATTGGTTTCAACCTCAATCCTCCACAATCATCCATTGTTTCTTGAATTTTGTTTAGTGGAGGGGTGACCATTGCCTCAATCTTTCAAAATCCTCCAACAATCACTGTTATTGTGTTAATTGGTTGAGGCAGTGCCAATGACATTCAGAAGCAGTGCGGATGATATCAAGCATAATGCAGGGCTCAATTATGCACGGCTGAACATAAACAATGCTTGGTACACCGACGAACTCGACACAATGCATTCTCCAAATCAACTGACACCTTTTGGCCTTTCAGCCTAAATCCTCTAAAATCCTCCAAAACTGTAGCCTGGAGGCTAAGCAAATGTTTTCTGTGCCCGATAAATTTCTGTGCAAAAGAGCTTCACGGAATTGGCCGGGAATCCCTTGACAAATTGCCCGGCATCGTTGATTGATTTGTTGTGGTGATAACCCAGAAAGTATGGGATCATGCGTGACACGCTGGCTGCTTAAAATCTGTTTTTGCTCAGCACGTATTTTCCGTAGTTAGCAGATTTCCCTACTTAAGAGCTTCACTGAATTGGCCGGGAGTCTCTCGACAAATTACCCGGCGTCGTTAATTGATTTGTTGTGCTGATAACCCAGACAGTAAGGGGATCATGCGTGACACGTTGGCTGCTTAAAATCTGTTTTTGCTAAGCGAATACTTTCCGTAGTTAGCAGATTTCCCTGCTTAAGAGTTTCACAGAATTGGCCGGGAGTCTCTCGACAAATTACCCGGCGTCGTTGATTGATTTGTTGTGCTGATAACCCAGACAGGGCAGGGATCATGTGTCTGCAATGTAATCCCTCCTACTGCATCAATGTCCCCAAGTTCATCGCCATTAAAAGCCATGATGTTTCCTGGCGCACCGATATTTTATTAAAGCCGAGCGGAGCCAAATTAAAAAACAAAAACATCTCTGAAGAAACAAGAACAATCTGAGGAAATATTTTCTTGGCTTCATTTTTTGGGGTGGGGGGGGGGGTGGTGGGAGGGGGTGGCTGGGGCTGAGTAGAAGTCAACATTTTTTTGGCATTTGGTTTAACAGACCTTAGCGTAGCAGCAGTCTTAGAGGGCAATGCCTTTTTTTTGCTGGGATGTATGCATGAGTGAACCTTTTGTACATTTAACAATGGTTGACTGCTGTGATGTGGGATATGACGTTTAGAACACCCGAGGGGCGCATAGCACCTGAGGCAAACCTCTGTCTTGGATTCTTTGGATTTAGATGTAAAAATCACGAAAACAAACATCAGTTAACACAACAATCATGACAATCAAATGCCAACTGCATGTCGCGTGCTCGAAACAGCTGATCGTCTGCTAGTTCCTTGCTCCCACTCATGTGTGAAAACATTGTGAAAAAAGCGTGGGTACCAACGATATAAGCGTTTCACACCGTACGTACCGCGACCGTACGTACGTACAAAGTCATAGCACACTCCCTGTGGGATATCACGTATGTGATATCCCACAGGAAGTGTGCCATGACTTTTTATAAACTGAACACGTGATCGTTCTAGGCCAGTGAAAATACAGTATTCAAGACAGAGGTATAACAATCATTGCTACTGATTCAAAAGAACAAAAGACTCCCTCTTAGGTGGCCATAACGCATATAAAAGAAGTTGTGTCTTTTATTTTACATTCTTAACAAATTTCCTTTTAACTTCAGATATCAATGTTGAGCTCCCCGACAAGAAATCTATCATGATCTACGTGATCGATATGTACAAAATCCTGTCGCAGCAAACCGAGGTCATTTCGAGTAGATCGGGTCACGCGAGGTCAGGGGTCGGCAAGACCTCTTCGTCAGAGCACACCCCAGTTACTCCCTCATCAGAAACGGTGAGTTCATTAATTGTGCATACGCCCTCGCTTGGTGTCCTTTTGAGATTGGCAGTCGAGATTTTAACATGTCTGATTCTGTTAAAGGTGTATACATGTAGCATCCTTTGCTTTTTCATGCATTCTGTTCGTTTCCAATAATAACACACTCAGAATCCAAAGAAGAATGTTCAAAACATATCCTGTTGAACTTTCAGCTCAGTGGATAGAACATTGAATGATGTACAACTTCTAACCGCAAAGTGAAAGCTGTGTCCAAATCAATTTTGAGATTTTAGTTCATCGGATAGAATGAATTTTCTGATGGGAAATAAATCCATTTTGTAGGTCTTCGAAAAGTCGAGAAAAACCTAACAGTTTGACAGAATTGATTTGGGAGATGGCAATTACAATGCCGTATCCTCTTTGATTGATCCCCGTTTGCTATTTCCCGGGTTTGCAGCATTGCTGATGTTGCTGGCACCATAACTTTGGGCATGATCCCTGGCTGCATTGCATTTAGGGGTTTATGGCTTCTGACTAGCGCCCCTAGAACAAAGTCAAATTAGGGAACCGCCAACATAGGGCTGGATAGCTCAGTTGGTAGAGCACCGGAACAGCAATCCGGAGGTCGCAGGTTCGAACCCTGCTCCTGTCAATTTCTTTGTTCAACTTTGAAAAAATTGTTAGTATGCGCCTAGTCAGTTTCCCTTTGTGGTTTCTTAAAAAAAATAAGAAGTAAATCAAAGTTTGCTACAGTGAGATCAGGTTAGTCAAGTCAAAGAATTTTTGTTTTGTGCACATTTACATGGAGTTTGAGCTAATTTCAACTATATTCAAAGAATGTTTCTGGCTTGTTTTTCTCCGACAGTCCTTTTCCGACATGAGCGAGGTGGATCTGGAGAGTTACCAAGGCAACATGGAGAACGTCCTGGCCTGGCTCCTGGAAGCCGAGGACCATCTCGGCCACCAGGGCGCCATCTCCGACAACGTGGATAAAGTCAAGGATCAATTCCACACACACGAGGTGAGGAAACTAGAAAGAAAAATAAAAAAAAAAGTTATATAAAATCTGTGCATATGTATCCACTCAACCATGAATTATTATCAAAAAGCTTACCTGGATTAAAGATTGTACTGGTACTAAACACCCCGTGAAATTATTCCGTCTGGCTAGCTGTCATTTAAAAGAAATAAAAGTGTAGGTGATTTCCAATGATCGTCCAGTTTACTGATTTTTGGAAATATAGAGTGCCGTCAACGAAATCGTTTTTCGTGATCAAAATGGTGTTTTGTGTTTCACTGCTTTTCCCGAAAGTGAAATATCCACTGAGCTGAAACTTCAACAGGTTAGGCTTTGAACTTTTGTCCTTGGATTTTGAGTGGTGTTATTATAGATTCTCTCACAGACAACCATCGTTGTAGGAAAATTACAACTGTGTATTCAATGCCACCAGGTGCGTGTGTGTGCAGTCTGCAAAATGTTCTAAACACTTGCGCAAGTCGCGCGAAATTTCTTCGAAATATGGCGTAGCTGATGCGCGTCATGAAAATTTGACGCCCAAGATGTCGATGCATGTGACAGTCTGCAGGAAGTGAGGTCATTTGAGAGAGATCTATTGCAAACGAGCAAACTGCATGAAAAGCAAATGATCCTATATGTGATACGATCAAGCTGCATGAGTCGTTTGTCGGGAATTTTCATTTGGAGATACAGGCCAAAATAGGGCCACTTCATCACATCACTTCATCACATCTCTTGGTGTTCCGACTTCCATAATTTTTGAACTAAAAATGGTATCAGCATGCAGTTTTCACAGCAGTAATGCTGAGATTGTGCTCTTTTCAAATCTGTAATACAAAAAAATTTGACCGGGGTCGACAAACGACTCATTTAGCGTGATCGCATCACAAATGCTTTTAACTGTCATCCAAGTATTAACAAAGTGAATAGCCCTCAAGATGTCTACTGTTTGAAAGTCACTGAAGCTAGGTAAAGAATATGGGTGACAAAACTGATCCATAAACAGCTTCAAAATTGCCCTTAGTTAGTGTAAATCTTGTTGTCTTTAATAACCAATTGTTTAATGAACAGGAGTTTATGATGGAGCTGACGTCCCACCAGAACAGCGTCGGCAATGCCCTCCAGGAAGGCAACCATCTCATCTTAGAGAACAAGGTGACCGAGGACGAGGAGAATGAGATTAGGGAGCAGATGAGCCTACTCAACAGCCGCTGGGAGAACCTTAGGATATCAGCTATGGAGAGGCAGACCAAGTAAGTTGGGCGATCATGAAATCTGAAGAAACATAGTTGCCTAACCCCAACAGGTCTCAACCCATTAAAGCCCAACGGCATGTTTTGTTGGAATCTGTCAGGATGGGTACAGTACCCCTAAACTGACGGTCATTTACATTGGGTTGGCATACCTCCAGAATCAAAGTGAGAAATATGTGTGTGCAGTTTCCCATAATGTTGGAATTTGCCAGGATGGGTGTGGTTCCTAAATAAATCATGCTAGGGAGTTAGGGTTAAAGGAACGTAGGAACATTGGTTATTGTGGAGTGCCTTGGCCCTGCAGTCTGGAGCATTGAATTCGGGGTCTTCGGGTAATTCTGCAGGTTGTGGGTTCGAGTCCAGCCTGGGGTTGTTGTGCGTGTGCCCTTGGGCAAGGCACTTTGTCACTCATTGCTTCTCTCCACCCAGGAGTTAATGGGTACCTATGAGGGCAGATGGTTATTGTGGTTGATTTAAGCTGCCTTGCACCAAAGTGTCAGCATTGAGCTGTATACTCACCAGGGAGCTGAGATGGTATTTGGAATGTTTCATTGGCCCAATGAGCAGGGTAATAATGATGTAGCGCCGTGCGCCTTGAGCTTTATTGATACACATTATTACCTGGAAAGGGAACTGCAAATTATTTAATGAGAAAACCTTGCTCAATTAAAGTGAAGATAGGGATCGTACCGAACACCCTGTGAAATTCTTCCAAGAGGGTTCTTGTGTTTAAGAAACAACCCAGCCCTGTTACACTTGATGTAGTTTTGAGTTTGGAGTTCAGTTTTGAAAAACCTCAGAATTCTGCAACAAAGCCATATCTTGCGCAAATACGCTCCGTGCAAGAAGGTCGTATCGCGCATATCGCGACATCAGTTGACTTTAAGTGTTCATCCGGGTTATTTTAAGTGAGATACGGCCTTTTGAAATTGAAAACTTATGACGTCACACGCCATTTTACGAGATAGTGTTACGACGAAACGACGAAAAAGTGAAATAGATTACGACGAAATAGTGTTTGCAAAGTGATATGGTTGGAGTTTGATGGTTGAGATTTCGTGGAAAAAGAATTTTTGCCTTTGTTTTTAATTCCAGATTGCATGAAGTGTTGATGGAGTTGCAGCAGAAGCAGCTGGACGACCTAGCTGCCTGGCTGGACCGCACGGAGGAGGTCATCAGCAGACAGGAAGGGTTGGGCAGCAACCTGGACCAGGTCAGCCAGCAGGTGGAGGAACACAGGGTGAGTCAGTCCAGGGACTCAGTGCACAAGTACCCCCTCAGCGGTTCCAAAGAGAAAGTTGGGGGAGACCAGTAGGAAGCGAAATCCAAACGCACTGCCGATGGTCGCTACGGGCTCCGTGCACAAGTACCCTGCAACGGCCAAAAAAGAGAGAGTTGGGGAGAGCTAAATTGGTTCCCGATCCATCCAGTGTATTTCGAATGATCCAAAGTTATTGGGGGCAGGGATTATTCTGGGAGACCATCGCAAGTTAAATTTGAACTTATTCGCGCGCTGACGACGTCTGACTCTCACGCGTGAAGACGCTATGGCTTAGCTTTGTGCATATGCAGGATAAACAAGTCGTGCGTACTTTGGGTGCGAACCAGAACAGTACTCACACGGGGTGTCCCCTCCAAGGGGCTCTCAAGTGGTAAAAACACCAGGCCGGTGTTCATTTCCAGTTCCCTTGGCATGAAAGGACTGAAATTATTTCTATTCCCCCTGGATGGGACGCTAGTCCATCGCAGGTTACTCCCAGCTCGTGCCAGTACCCATTTATACTCCTGGGTGGAGAGAGGCAAGTGAGGTGAAGTGGCTTGTCCAAGGACACAACATATGTCCAGCAGCTGGATTCGAACCCCTGATCCTCTGATCATGAGTCACGAACCCTAACCAGGAGACCGCACGCCCCGCATTGACTCAAAGTTAAACTTGTTATCAAGAAGCAGTTTGCTTATCACTGTGTTTTGGTTATTTTTGCCCAATTTTACCGTAGATGCTTCAAGAATCCCTGGAGGAGCAACAGATGCAGGTCAACTCCCTGACCCACATGGTGGTGGTGGTGGACGAGAGCAGTCCAGAAAATGGTACATGTATGTGGACTTGCTTCTGTTTGTCTATTTCGTCAGTCAACTATCTGCCTGTCTGTCTGCTTGTTTGGAAATTAGAAAAAAAAACAGATTCCACAAAACGGTCTTAAAATATTGTTTCACTGGTTTGTTGTTCAAATGCATACTCTGAATTTGATAAAAAAATCAGGGAAAAAATATCACCTATTTTGATATGCAAACATGCTGACTGTTCTACAGATGTCCATCGTGCAAGATGCGGTTTAAAATATGAGGCCTTTTACTGAAGAGTAGCTCTCGTTTGTTGAGTTGGGTCACAATCGTTTCATTGCTAAACCTTTAACCAGTTCACGCCGGGATTATTTTGACAAGAACGAAAACGAGGTGCGGGATTACTTTTCACTTGACCTCAAGCCCGGCGGGTTGAAGCCATCACCCTCGGGCAGCACACTCATATTTCCGGACCCGCTCGCTGCGAGCTGGTCTCTGACAGATATTTCCGGCCTCGCTCCCTGAATGTTTATCTGTCATCCGTTCTGAATACCGCAAAACTTTTGTGTGTATTCAGGGCCTCCGGCACGAACTGGTTAAATACTGTATCCGCTCCATGCACACAGACTCTCTAACAGTGGAAGTTTCAAAATGTAGCTCTGAAACAAACAACACAATGGCATCATTTTTCGCTTACTGCACTTAAGTTTGTGGAAGACCATATAACGGTGACCAAACTTTTGCATTCACATTTCTGTGTAATCCTTGTTCATATTACATCAATTAGTATTTGTAAAAAGTTATCAAAAAGCTATTTATTCCTCAAAAAATATTTAAAAAAAAGTCGCGTAGATGCATCCTGTTTCAGGGGTGTGAGATCTCAGCTTTAAAACTGATTTCAGCTTCTTTTGTTTTGGATTTCAGCTTTTTTCCCCTCACTTGCCGTGTACAAAAGTATAGGAGATTTCCAAAGTTCAGCTTTTTTACACCTTTTTCAGCTGTTTTCAGCTATTTTTATCAGAGGTCACTCACACCCCTGCTGTTTTTTAAAATCCAGTAAGGCCTCTTAACACTCAACTCGTTTGTAAAGCCTTTTCCTGTCGATGCCTCGATATGAATGTAGCAACTCCCACTTCTCTCCCCACCAGCCACGGCCTTGCTGGAGGAGCAGCTGACCAGCCTGGGAGAGCGCTGGGCCCGGGTCTGCCAGTGGACCGAGCAGCGCTGGGCCATCCTGCAGGAGGTCTCGGCCCACTGGCAGCGCTTCGTGGAGGAACAGCGGCAGTTCAGCGACTGGCTGAGCGACAAGGAGTCCACGCTAGCCCGTATGAGACTGGCAGATGTGCAGGACGTCAAGGGGGCTATCGAGAGGGTCAAGATACTCAAGGTGAGTCACGTCGCAAATGTTTGGTTGGTTGGTTCTCCTAAGGACTCCGCAAGGGAGTATAACCAGGAGGCCAGAAACACCGGGGCAAATGTTTGGTTGGTTGGTTCTCCTAAGGACTCCGCAAGGGGGTATAACCAGGAGGCCAGAAACACCGGGGCAAACCCCTTCTCTTAGCGGTAAGTGTTACTGTTTCTTTTACGTGCATTGTATTACAAAACACACAGGACCTCTGGCTTAACGTCCCATCCGAAGGACGAAGCAATAATGGTTAAGTGCCTTGCTTAAGGGCACAAGTGTCCAGACCCGGGCTCGAACCCACGCCGCTGTTGCCTCTGAAACACCAGAGCATGAGTCCGGTGCTCTTAACCGCTAGGCCATGACACTCCACTCTAATACTCAGAGGGAAGAAGTACTTGTGAGGCAGTCTCAAACACTAGTCATTCTCGTATTTGCAATTGGATACGTCTATTCGTTCTTGGATACCTGTTGTCATTCTTGCCGTAGCCTCGTGGTCTGAAGCATTGAATTCGTGGTCTGTGGGTAATTCTGCAGGTTGTGGGTTCGAGTCCAGCCAGGGGTTTATGGTGCGTGTGCCCTTGGGCAAGGCACTTTGTCACTCTTTGCTTCTTCCCACCAAATTGGGTACCTGTGAGGGCAGAGATGGTTATTGTGATTGATTTTAGCCGTCTGAGCCGAAATGGCAGCATGGAGCTGTATACTCCCCAGGGAGCCGAGATTGTCTTTGGAAGGTTTTGTTGGCTCAATAAGAAGGGTAATAATGATGTAGCGCCTTGAGCACCAATACCGGTGGATACATTATTGTTATTATAAATTGTTTTACCTCCCTCACCCTTACAGAAAAACTCTCCCACCCGCAATTTTGTCTAAGCCGCCATTTCTAATCTCCCCAGCACCGAGTGAATATTCCTTGTGAGACTTCTATCTACATCATTGTGATCATTCCAGATTCTGGAGCAGGAGTTGGAGATCCAGCGCAACCAGTTTGACAAGCTGAACCGGAGCGCCGAGAACATCGTGGAGCATCTCGACGAGAACAACCGGGCCGTGGAAGACATCCAGCTGGTCCTGGACGAGTTCTCTCAGCGATGGGACAGCGTCGTCCAGCAGATGGAGATGCACTCCAAATGGGTAAGGCCTAGTCCTGAATCTCTTGTCTTGGGCTGTAGTTGAGGTCTTGGACACTTGCAGCAGAAGCTGAATTGCAAAGGACGCAGCTTCAACGTGGTCGAGCCAAAAGCATCTTAAGGTGCCTTAGGTAGCTGCCATATGACCCATGTCTTACCACGTTGCACAGCCAGAACGAAAGTGTTGATATTTTCTGAAGGAGGAAAACTAGAGAACCCAGAGAAAAACCCTCATGGCACAGGAGAGAATCAACGAACAACTCTACTCACATATGACCTGAGCTGGGAATCGAACCTGGGCCACAGCGGAGAGAGGCAAGTGCTTGACGCACTGTGCCACCCATGGTGTCATTTGCCGTTGGAAATGCAAACTGTTTTTTCTTTGCACAGTAGTAATACTTTAATTTCCCTAAATAAATATCTGTATTATTGTTGCGCATATTTCCTGTATTGTACCAATCATCTTTGTCTGAGCAAAGCCTGCATTGGGTTTACATTCCAAATAATAATGCTCTTAAGAATAGCACCTAGGGAAAAAAGTGAATATCATCATGACTGTAATTAACAAAAAGTGAGGCCAAGGCCCAAATCTGCTTACAATTTGTGAAGAATCGTAGTGAAGAATTTTGCTTACTTTAGCAGAAAATTCTGCGCCAATGATTGCTTTCAAGTGTCTGTACAGATGCCCACGAGCCAAAATTCCTTACGAAGTATACTACTCTGAACACACAGTTTCCTTGTAAAGTTAGCAAGTATTCTATGCTGATGGTAAGCGGAGTCAGAAATACGACTCTGAACTTGAACCATTTCTGTGTTTGCCGTCCGTCAGATCGCCGAGAGCGGCATCAACCTGGATGCCATCCCCATCACAGACTCCATCAACACCACCACCACAACAAAGACCTACCGCGGCGACTCGGGCAACACCGTCACCGAGACCCAAGTCACCAAGACCATCACCCAAACCGTCCACGTCGCCCCGTCACCGTCGTCAGCCGCCAGCGAGCCGCACAAGCGCCCCCACGAGGACAGCCAGCTCAAGAGGCAGTTTGACGGCGAGCTGGGCAGCCTGGTGTCGTGGATGGAGGACACGGAGCAGAAGTTGATGACTTCCAACGAGCCGTCGCCTGAGGATCCAAACTTGGACGAACAGAGAAAATTTTACAGTGTAAGTGACAAAAACACTTGCCCATCATGGGTTAATTTTATACGTGACCATTTTTGAGTTGAATTGCACAAACTTATGGACAAGTTCACAAGCATCCCCGCAGTGATGACTGAAAGCGATTGGACACCAACATAAGCTTGGTGCTCATGTGGAGGCACTATTGGTTTGTGAGTCATTTTATCAAATTAGGTTTTGCCCTTTCACCGACGTTTAAACACTGTATACTCAGTGTGTTACCTCCCGAGTGAAAGTTGGAAAAAATCACTCGGGTGGGACTCGAACCCACGACCTCCTGCTTTCTAGTGCAGATGTCTTACCACTCGACCACCGAGCTAACGGGATCGGTCGTGAATTCGAATCCCACCCGAGTGATTTTTTCCAACTTTCACTCGGGAGGTAAGACACTGAGTATAAAGTGTTTAAACGTCGGTGAAAGGGCAAAACCTAATTTGATTTATATCACCCCGACCCAAAATTCCTTCTTATAAGAGTCATTTTATAATTTTAGGTTCCAAAGTGTGACATTTTTCCCGTCCCTGTTACCTTGGTACCTTCGTACTTTTCCACTCTAGTATCATTAAGAATGACCTCAAACGATATCTGTTGTTGGGTAGGTAGTTTGCTATTCATAAGCACTCTGGGAGGACGACTGCATTAAAAAGTGCATCAGAATTGTGAAATCATAGATGTGAGATGTAACAGGGACAAGAAAGAAAGTGGACCCCAAATTTATAGCATGACCCCTGTGCGTATCTGATTCAAATTGCTCAGTCCTTATCAATTCTTTTCATATCTTGTTAACACTGAGTTCATGCAAACATACATACATGTTCTCTTTGATTTATGCATGCAAAGGATGGCTCCCATGAACTGAGTGATCACGAGCAATCACATATTTCCATCGACTGTTAACGGGTGGTTTTAAATTGCTTCAATAAAGGAGCGTATTTCAACCGAGTGTGCGCACTCTTTCAAAATGGCACTCAAAAAAATATTACAACTTTGCACAGATTTAAAGGGAATATACAACATTTGCAATCATTGAAAAACAAAACTAACACATTTTTACGAAATACCTAACTAGGATATTGATAAATGACAGTCTAAAGCATCCTGTAAAATTATGGCACCTGGTGTGAAAAACCTATTTTTTTGCAACTACTGCTCCAAATTTACCATTTTTTCAGTCCAAATTTTCTTTGCTTATTGGTTACATGTTCATAAACGGGTGCAGGCCAGCTAGACTGGTTCCCTTACCTTACAATTTTCTGGCATCTATAAATTGATCCAATTCATCCTTAGTGGAGTCAGGGAACCAGACTACTTGAACCTTTTAGTTTTTCTTGGTTTTCCAGCAGTTTTGAACACAAAACTTATATTTGATCTGTTATACTAACCCCTCAAATACATGTAGTTAATTTCTGAAAATTACAGCAAAGGCCAATGATGTACATTCCCTTTAAGTGACAGAATAGCTGTAGAATGATTTTCTGTTTGACTTCATTTTGTTCCGTTGCAGACTTTGGAGCGAGACCTGAACGAGAGGAAAGCCCGGGTGAAGAATGTATCGGAGCTTGGCAACAAGCTGATCACTCAAACCCGCTTAGGTAAGACTGCTTTGTCTCATTGACCCAATCTGCTTAGTGGCTAAGCACACATATTTGCTTAGCACAGGGAAGCTTGCCCCTGCAGGAACAAGTTGCTAGCCAAACTTTCCTGTGGTGAATATCATTTGTTACATCTTCTTAGCTGATTTTTGCTGATCAAGAAAATCTGATTAACAACATTTTCAGCTGAGCACATTATATACATCCTGGAGGATGCAAGCATAGTAAATAGAATACCTTACAGTTAAATCAAATCTTTGGTGAGAGTCAAAGTATTTTCCCATTGACCCTAACAGAACTTACCCCATCAAACCCCAACAGCATGTTTTGTTGGAATCTGTCAGGATGGGTACAGTACCCCTAAACTGACAGTCTTTTACATTGGGTTGGCACACCTCCAGAAACAAAGTCAGAAATATGTGTGTTCAGTTTCCCATATGGTGTTAGAATTTGCCAGGATGGGTATGGTTCCTCGTAAATCATGCTAGGCAGTTAGGGTTAATAAAGCAACCTATGATAGTTACCGTTCCAGAATTCAGAGTCTAGGATTTCACCGATATTTCCAGGGATCTACTGACTGCATTGCACTACCGGCAGGCAGGGTGTTAGTACAAGCACGTTTGGTAGTCAGCTTTGTGTGCTGCCTGGGGCGCTAGGAACTTTGACCAAAATAAGAGTGTATAGCTTTGAAATACAAACTGCTTACTTGAGTATTTATTATTATTAATTATTTCTGGTAATGAAACCAAGGATTCCTCAAAAGCGCCCTAGGCACTGTAGCTCGCAAGCCTGAAGAAACTTTTTACAGTTTTACAGAAAGCAATTACAGTTTTAGAGGTGGGAGGAAAACACCAGAAGAATATTCTGGATAAAACCCACAGAATCAGGCAGGGACTGAAAACCCAATCCACATATTGGCCCGGGCGGGAATCAAACCCGGGTCACAGCGGTGGAAGGCGAGGAAAGTACCGCTACGCCAACCTGACTGCCTTTGTTATCGTTCTTTGTCGCTCCTTCAGAGGGCACCTCGACCGAGCCCATCCGACACTCCTTAGAGAACCTCCAGGAGCGCTGGCAGGACGTCCGGGTCATGGTGGACGGCCGCAAGCGCAACCTGGACCAGTCCTCTCAGAGGAAGCAGTTCACCGACGAGCTGAAGAGACTACAGGAGGTGGTGCAGTCGGTCCAGGGATGGCTGGACGAGCAAGCCACGGTGGCTGATAGCGTACAGGGGATACAGGCACAGCTAGATCAGTGCAGGGTAAGGCACTAATGTAGCCGTTAAATCTCAGCATTCTTTTTATTTTGGCTTCTTAAGTTGTTTTATTCCCAAATGAAGCTCATGGTGATTTTGTTTTTCTTAAGTAACCCATATTTGAGAGGGAATCGTCTGCTGCTCTCAACTGAGCGTGACTGTGGTCTGGTAGTTTTTGTGAAATATCTGATCATTGCTTTTTGTTAAATAGTTTATAAGGGTTCAATTTGACCAAGTCATTTGTTATTCTACGTGAAGTCATGGTTGTATTTATTAAGTTTTTTTTTTGTATTTACAATTTACAACAGGCATGTTTTTGTTATATGACATGACTTAAATCCTTTTCAAACATACAGGTCCAATAATTAATTTAATTCTCAATTTTGCACTGGTCTCTAAAGATAGTTCGTTTCTGGTAATTTTTTAAAGGAACTACCTCTGTATGTTTTTTTTAACCTGACGTTTGAGCCCTGCATAACACCAAGAACATAATGGAAATCCAATAATTTGGGTTGAAAGTTTAACAAAAAAGTTCTGCTGTACTAAAAAACAAAGCTCCTTTTTTCGTTTTTTTTATACCATAAGCAACCAGTCCCAACAATAAATCTAAACACTGTAAGTATTTAAAAAAAGAGTAAGTGCTAGCCGGAAGTTTTCCTCAAAAGGCACGGGTTCTTAATATCATTCGTCTGAACATTGCTGTTGTCCAGGCCAAGCAGAAGGAGATGACCATCAACAGCCACCGCATCGAGCGCCTGACCGCCACCGCCCGGGACCTGACCGGCGACGCCACCATCTCCCGCACCGCGCAGCGCGACATCAGGGCCTTCAAGCAGTCCTGGGAGGCCGCCTCCACCGCCCTGAAGGACAGAGAGAAGCTCCTGGGAAAAGCGTTGGACTGCGCGCCGCCCCAGCGCTACATCGAGGCCATGAGGGCGCTGACGCAGTGGCTGCAGAGCGTAGAGGCCGTGCTGCGCTCCGAGGAGTTCTGTGTGACAGAGGTGGACGAGCTGGAAGACCAGCTGCAAAAATACAAGGTAAGAAAAAAAAATTAAGGTTCGAATCCCAGGTGAGTAGTTACAAGGCCTGACTGTGCGATCCATAGCAGGACCTTTTCTTGAAAGGCAAATGAAAGTGGCACAGAAACAAACTCGCTTAACATTTTAAAAAAAGATTATCAGGACGAGTTTTTCAAATCCCTCGGAAGACCAGCTGCAAAAATACAAGGTAAGGAAAACAATGAAGGTTCGAATGCCAGGTGAGTTGTTACAAGGCCTGACGGTTTGATCCAAAGCAGGACCTTTTCTTAAAGGCAAATGATAGTGGCACAGAAACAAACACAGCTTAACATTTTAAAATAAATGATCAGGAAGATTTTTTCAAATCCCTTAGAAGTTTATGAAAACAATTGTTGCCAGGGCGAAATTTCAAAAATTTTATTTAGCAAATTGAAATATCTGCTGAGCATCAATCACGAGCAGTATATTTTGCTTAACATTTTGGCTGGTAAGCGGTTTTGCTAAGCAAATATTTTCGTGCTTAGCATTTTTTTTGTTCTGAGAAAATTGGCCTTGGGTATGAGCAGCTATGTAAGGTCACATGATCATATTTCCTCATGGTCAATAGGGGGCGCTTTGAGCTTGAGCCGATTTTAACCAGTCTTAAGGCGGGTTCATACTTCACACGAATGGGAATGCGAAGGGAATTTGACTTTACAAAACCGCAGTGAAATTTCCTGGAGTTGAAATGTGTTCAAATTTTGCAAAATCCACAGCGTTAACACCTGTCGTGATGTTACAAATTTGTGACACGTTCATTTTTCGTGCCATTAAACCAGCCTTTAGACTCTGAGATATTGGAAAATGAGTTGATTGAATAAGGTCTTCCTATTGATAGGGTTAATAATAAAAGAGGAAATTTCACTCCAAAAACTCTGAAAATTGCAATTTTGTTTTTTCTCTTCAGGAACTTCAGACCACCATACAGCAGCAGCGGCCCAACTACGACTTTGTCAACAAGACTGGGAAGGACCTGGTGTCTGGCGCCCCGTCTCCCGCACAGTCGGAGACCCTGCAGCGCGACCTGAGCAAGATGAACCAGGGCTGGAGCGAGGTGACCTTTTTAGTAGAAGAGCGGCAAGGTCAACTGGAGAGGGCGCTCAGCGAACTCAAACTCTGGCAGGTCAGTCACACCAGTTTCAATCTGGCATTCCTGAATCGTTCTGAAACAATTTATTCTAAAGATCTGATTTAAGAGTGTGAAACTTTGACGTCAGAAAAAAATGGAAGTGACTTCATGTACGTCAAAAGGTCAATTGTTGCAGTTTTTTGGAACTAAAATCTGATTGGGTCGGCCTAAGTCACTCCTGGCAATTATTTGATTCAGTGTGACTTGGCAACGCTGATCTGAAACCAGTGTTAGTTATCTCAGTTTTACGGATAAATTGATAAAATTAATTGTAACTTTGACTTGACTCTGTGCCTGTGTTTCGTAAGCAAAAAGATGACGGTGTTTTTGCGTCCTAATGTAATTCTATGGGTTTCCCCCCCCCAGAATGTGATTCCAGGGTTTTTCCTCCATCCCTTAAAACCAAACAATTCTTCCATGGCCGCTGTCGTTAGATTTTTTCAGACTCCAAAGCCTACAGTACCGCTGAGGACCTTGATTTCTTTACCTAAAAGATTTTAAAAAACTACTCAATAAAGGCATATTCATAATGAATAACCTGGGATAAGTCCCTCATCAGTATTTTTTGGGGGGAGGGGAGTCGAAATTTCATCGATTCAATTCTATTACGGTGAGGGGACAACATGGCTCATTCAAATTTGCCATAATTCTAGCAGGGTATCCCATCAGCTTCATACTGTTCTCAAGGTGGAAACAAAAATATTTCGATATATTCTATTGACAACTTTTGATTATCGCAGGATGAAGTGAACGGTCTGAAGAGCTGGATGGCCGAAGTTGACACGTTCCTGTCGGCTGAGGAAATTGCCTTAGGCGACATGGAAGTACTACAGGCCCAGCTCGAGCAGGGACAGGTAAGATTTTCAAAATTCTAAAAATCATTAAAGGCGGTTCGACTGAAATTTTCCTGACATATAATCTATAATTTTTTTAATCCCATTAGAACCTGTAGTATTTTTTATTACAGTGTATTTGTTTCTATATGAATCTAGAAAACCATACAGTTGGGTGATTTGGCAACCTCGTCCCCAGGGTGTCGAGCAGAACGCGCCCACCACTACCTGCTCTCTCACCCTGGTATTGGATCATTTGCATGTGCAAGATTTTACACACGTATGCAAATGAGGAACAGTCTGGTGCCTGGATTTTGCTTTTGTATGCGGTGTCTGGGGTGAAAACAGAGTCGATTCGTAGCAGCGCGAGCACGGCGTGAGTTACGAAAACACGATTTTTGAAATCAAACTGTTACGATCTTATCGAGACAACATGCAGTATCATATTTCATATTAATATGAGCAAATTGGCAAGGAAATTAGTATTTTCGAGAAGGCGTGGACGAATGATCGCGAAAATACGTACTGCACGTTGTGAATAATAGCACCAAGTACACGATAAAAATCCATTACTAGCCAATTGCGGTATCCAATCAGGATACAGGAAGAAAGTTTCCTATCCTGGGTTTACTATTGGAAACCAGGTTGGAAATAAAGTAAGCACTGGGGACGAGGTTGGTGATTTGGGGGATAACATTAGGGATGGTTTTTTGACGGTTAAGTTATTTTGTTATTTCAACAACTTTTATCTTCAGTAACCACAAAGAGAAACAATGGGTGCATTCCTTGAAGCTGCTATGCTAAGAATTATGCTAAGCGAAAGCAGGTTACCGGTCGGAACGTCGTGCGATGCCTATTGCTATTCACTGGTTCACAGCAGATGGTTGCTAAATCTAGAAATTGATTGAAAGAGTGAATTGAGCTTAGAAAAACAAATAGCATATCAGTGAGCACCTCCAGTTAACAACACCTCAAAAATTGATTAAAAACTCCAGCCTTTTTGTCAGTGAACTAAAGGTATTTAATCTGCCTTTTAAAGATATAGTCCATCATTTGTAATTTGTGCATTTTGTTCGTTTGAAGCAACAAAAGTGCTCAAAATCTAAAGAAGGGTACTGAACAACTAGCCTGATGAAGTTTCAGCTCAGCTTCAGCTGTATCATTCCAAGAAAAACAGCATTCCAGGATTTCAATTTCAAATCAAAAGTTGCTGAATCGTGTTTTGAATTGCGCCTGAATTCAGCGTCCGAGACACGTTCTCGCTGAGCCGATTGCAGCTACGCGATGTCGCGCACTGATCCAACGATTTATAGCAACCGCGTGTGCGTCGTGCGAATGCTTGCATGCGCTTCGCCGAATAACAAAACGAACTACTAATTAAAATTTTCCTACGGTGCGTCTTAAGAAGCACCGTTGGAAAGGCCTTCTTTCGTTGATTACTTCAAAATGACAGCTTGCCAGAAAGAATAATTTCACAGGGAGTTTAGTCTCCTTACTATCTTTCAACCAAGTATGTTTTTCAACAATAATTATGCCAGTTACTTTTCGGATAGCTGCAAATGATGGACTATAGCTTTAAACGCTCAGTAAATTATGGAAAATTCAATCTGTAAATCATTGTTTCAGTCCCCACAACTTGCGTGCAAACAACTTACGATTCATTTACAAAAACAGCTTGAAATGCTCTCTCTCTCGTGTTGTTGAGTAATTTATGTCACCGTACAGAAAAACTGATATATGAACCCTGCTAAGAAAACAGGAAATTAGAAAAGAGGCATTTCACATTTTGTACTTGAACATTTTGACTGATTGCACTCGGCTTTTTGTGACAGCTGTTGATGGAGTAAATGCTCCTGTGTGCGTAATTCTGGGTTTTGATTACAGCACGACAAAAATGAAAACTCTGTCTGTCTCTGTCATAATACATCTGTGTGGAGTGCTGTGGCCTCGTGGTTAAGGGCACTGGATTCGTGGTCTTTGGGTAAAGCTGCGGGTTGTGGGTTCGAGTCCAGCCGGGGTCATGGCGCGTGTGCCCTTAAGCAAGGCACTTTGTCACTCATTGCTTCTCTCCACCCAGTAAATGGGTACCTGTGAGGGCAGAGATGGTTGTTGTGATAGAATAAGCTTGCTTGTGCTAACAGGCAGCATCCAGCTGTATACTCCCCAGGGAGCTGAGATGGTATTTGGAATGTTTAATTGGCCCAATGATCAGGGGTAATAATAATACTGTAAGCGCAGTGATTTAGTTCACTAATAAGAGCGTTCTTACCGGGTAAATGCCGATTATTATTATAATACGTGGTACTGTCAGTTAGGGAATGCATGACGATTGTTTGTAGTGCCTTGAAGATGGTTCAGTGTGTTTAAAGAAAGAGATAGTTTCTCAGGTAAAACAGGTTAACCCAAAATGGGTAAACCTGAACAGACGGAATAATTTCATAGGGTGTTAAGTACCAGTGCGATCTTTACTCCAAGTAAGCTTTTTGATAAAAACAACTGGTACATGTAGGTTACTTGTTGGATAAATGCAAATGATCCTCTTAAAGGGAATGTACAACATTTGCTTTTGCTGCAATTTTCAGAAATAAATGGATTTGGAGGATTAGTATGTTATAGCAAATATTGTTAAAACGACTTGTTTCACATTTTGGGCTTGAAGATGCTGGAAAAACCAGGAAAACCAATCATGTTCTTGTAGTCTGGTTCCCTGACCCAACTTAAGATGAATTGGAGCAATTTATAGACTTTGGGGAATTGTAAGGTCAGAGAATCAGTCTAGAAGGCTTGTACCCCTTCACAGGTGTGTAATCAACTGCAAAGAAAATGCGGAATTAGAAAAAAATAGGAGCAGTTTTTGAAGAAAATAAACCAGTTTTCTCCAACGCTGGTCGGCCGACCAGCGTTGGAAAAATACCATTTTCTTCAAAATGTCAGCACACCAGGAAAAACGATTTTACAGGATGATTTAGGCTGTCATTCCCTAACAATCCAGTTAGGTATGCCGTGATAATTTGACCATTTCGTTTTGTGATGTTTGCAAATGTTGTATCTTCCCTTTAAATTATTTTCGACCAACTAGATGATTGAAAACGGACAAGTCCGATCCTGTAATGACTTCTTTCAACCCACAACCCATTTGTCTTGTGATGTTCCCAGGCCCTGACCGACGACATTCAGACCCTGCAGCAGAACATGGACAACATCACCGAGACTGGACAGAAGCTGGCCAAAGAGGGCGACCCGCCGTTTGCGGCCCGCATCACCGCCGAGCTGAAGCAGCTGCAGACCAAGTGGACACGGGTCACCAAGCTGGCTCAGGAACAGAGACAGGTCTGTGAAGTGGCTTGTATCTTCAGTATTGTAGTCCATGTATTTGTGATGGGTCACAAGTTAATCACAAGTCAATCTTAAGTCTATCACAAGCCAATCACAAGTCAATCACAAGTCAATCACATGTCAATCACAAGTCAATCACAAGTTCATCATAAGTCCATCACAAGTTCATCACAAGTCCATCACGAGTCAATCACAAGTCAATCACAAGTCAATCACAAGTCCATCACAAGTCAATCACATGTCAATCACAAGTCAATCACATGTCAATCACAAGTCAATCACAAGTCGATCACAAGTCTATCACAAGTCTATCACAAGCCAATCACAAGTCAATCACAAGTCCATCACAAGCCAATCACATGTCAATCACATGTCAATCACAAGTCCATCACAAGCCCATCACAAGTCCATCACAAGCCAATCACATGTCAATCACAAGCCAATCACAAGTCAGTCACAAGCCAATCACAAGTCTATCACAAGCCAATCACAAGTCCATCACATGTCTATCACATGTCAATCACAAGCCAATCACAAGTCCATCACAAGTCAATCACAAGTCCACCACAAGCCAATCACAAGTCAATCACATGTCAATCACAAGTCAATCATCCAGTCCCAAGTCATCGCAAGTTATTCAAAAGAACTCTGCCACAAGCAAAGAGCAAAGAATGGACTTGTGATTAACTTGTGAATAGGCTTCAGATGGACATGAAAGCAACAGTCTTAGTCAGAAGTCAATTCCTTGCTCAAACATCCTTAGGGATAAAAAGGTGAATTTTTTTTTTGGCCGTGCTTCCTTCCTGTTCAGAGTCTGGAGACGGCCCACGGCATCTGCAAGAAACTGAAAGGCGAGATGCAAGAACTGAACGACTGGCTGGACGTGACGGAGACGGACTACATCAGCAAAGACGCGTCCATCCAAGACCCCGCCGATATACAGAACAAACTCAAGAAAGTCAAGGTCAGTGGGGTGTTTCAATTAGAAATTCTATATGATGATAATATGCTTCAGACAGAGTCTTATTGCTGCTTCTTGGTCCAATTTCCATGAAACTGCCAAACAGAAAATTATTACTAAGCATACTCATTAAAAAAAAAGGAGAACCAGTCAAAATGATGCAGACGTCATATATATTTTGGCTGGTATCCTGAATCTGCTATGCAAATTTATGTTGTTAATTAATATGCATACCACCCATTTCATATTGACCCCTTGGGTATATGACACTAAGTAGGCAAGACTGATATTATTCTCAAAAGAAAAAAGAAAGCTTCAAATAGGATTATCACGCCCTCTAACTTTTGCAGCAGACCATATGCATTGCAGGTATCTCAGAGGCTGGTCTTTGTGATTTTATTTGAGTAACAATGAATGCACACAAGCTTTACTCATGCCTATCCACGCAATACAAAACCATTGTCTCTAATGCATAATGTCTCTATACAACACTGATGCTTAAAACTCGGCTTGATTTCCAATATTCAAGATGATTTTTTAATAATTTGCAGAAAGTCCAGGAAGACACTACAGCCAAAGAGCCCATCGTGACCTCAGCAACCAAAGGCCACACAGCCCTGACCGCCAAATCGCCCCAAGACTCCACCCTCTCCTCCGAGTACACGACCCTCCTCGCTCGCTGGACAACCCACCAGGACAAGCTAGCCTCTGCCCACAAGACGCTGACTGAAGCCGCCGACAACTGGCGGCAGCTCAAGGTGCTGCTGGAGGAGGAGACTATGTGGATGGAAGGGTTCGAGAAGAAACTGAAGAATCCATCACTGAGCCTGGATGCGGAGGAAATTTCGGAAGAGATTGATGTTAGTCTCGGGAATACTTCTATATTTTATTTAACATTGTTTTAAAAATTTCACGTGTTAGCTGCGTTAAGCATTCCTGTTAAGTCTTTGTGAAACCCCTTTTCTCTCTCTTCTATACAGACTTTGGAGCTGGCTGTTCAGAAACACGCCGTAGACAACTCCGCGAAGATCAATAAGCTAAGCCAGAGTCTGATCTCCAATGACATCATGGTGTCTGCTGTGGAACGCGAAACCAAGATGTACAACCAGAAAGCTAAGGAAATTGTTACTCAGGTAACGGATATAAATGCTAAATTGGAGAAAATAAACATGTAAAGGCTCATTCCTCCCTACACGGTTACCCCCAAATGAGCCAACTAAATCAATTAATCCAACCTTCCCAAATCCTCAAAAACGTTCTTTGCAAAGTAGAGGCTCTGTGGCAAAACAGTGTGGCTGATTTTGAAGGATGCACTGTGTCAAGGTCTTGGGCCGGATCTTGTGTTGTTTATGCTCAGCCATGCATGAATTTAGGCCTAGATTATACTTGAAATCCTCCGCACTGCTCCAGGATGTCACTGGCTCTGCCTCAACATACTGACAGTGATTGCTGGAGGATTTTGCAGGATTGAGGCAGGGGTCAGCCCTCCAAGGACCGCATTCAAGAAATAATGGATGATTTTGGAGGATTGAGGCTGTATGCAATTTTGACATGGAGGCAGTTGGAGGATTTTGCAGGATTGAGGTTGCATCCTAGCAAAAATGTCTAGGGAGCTAAGGTTGAAGACAGGACAGGGAGCAACGAACATTAAACAGATGGTTCTTGAAAGTGGGGCTGGTGTTTGGCTAGGAAATTCTGGATCAATGGTTCAGTTGATTTTAAAGGGGCTCGCACATGTTATTTACCTAACGGTATGTTTGAATGAGGAACTTGTGAAATAGAATTTTTGTTTTGACGCAGAAATTTTAGAGTAATTGAAAAATTATGACAAACAGACTGCAAAAAAATTTAAAAATAAATAAAATCCCTTGTTTGAAGGGATTATTTTTGTGTCGTGTTTTTGTTTTTTGGGAAGAAGGAAATGGGGAAGTATGGACATTCATGTGCTTGTTCAGTTGAGTAAATTGAAACTGAAGGAAAACTTTGTAAAAACTGATTGTTTTTTTTCCCTTTTCATTCCCAACACAGGCTAAAGAATGCCAGCAGCGTCTGGAGAACAACGTCCAGCTCTTGCAGCAACTTGAGAAGGACATGCTGGTGCTACAGAGCTGGATCACTGTGGTGGACAGGACACTCAACAACCGGCTGGCATCGCGGGTCTCGGCTCTAGATGTCCCTAGTGAATTTGAGGTAGGCTTTGAATCTCTAGTTTCAAGTTTCTCTAGTTTCTTTGTAATCTCTTGGTAGTGTATTGGAAACCTTTTGACTGTTTATTTTTGGCGTTGCTGTCTGTGCTGACATCAGAAGTGCTTTTAACTGTGGAAGATTTTGGATTGTTAATGGTAAGTAGAACTACCAAATGATCGGTTGAAAATGAAGAGCACTGCTTCGCAGTTCAGAGAAAAATATAACCAGCTGTAGATAATTGGGCTAAAATGTACTCCTTTTTTTCAAGACTTGACCTAGCTTGAAAGAGAAAAAGACCATCATTTTGGGGACTTTAACCAGTTCACGTCAGATGACGTGTATACACGCAAGTGTTTTGTGGTATTCGGAACGGGTGACGGATGTACACCAACCAGCGAGGTTGGAAATATCTGTCAGCGACCTGTTCGCAGTGAGAGAGGCCGGAAAAATCAGGGTGTGCTATCCACAGATGACGAATTGAATTTGTATGGCATCGAGGTTCGTGAAAAACAATCCCGCGCCTGGGTCCGGTCGATGTCAATAAAAAATCCTGGCGCGAACTGGTTAACAATGGCAAGTCGAGGCTCAAATGCTTTGCTGATCGTTTGGGCCTATTATTCAGCTGTCGATGAACTGTTTGTATTGGGGCAATCTTCACTTGTATCTGGACATTTTTAAAGATGGACTTGCCATTATAATAATAATAATAATAACAGGTTCTTATATAGCGCTTTTAACTAAGATCAAAGCGCTTTACATTATTATTACCCCTAATCATTGGGCCAATTAAACATTCCATATACCATCTCAGCTCCCTGGGGAGTATACAGCTCGATGCTGCCTGTTAGGCGCAAGGAAGCTAATTCAATCACAATAACCATCACTGCCCTCATAGGTACCCATTTACTCCTGGGTGGAGAGAAGCAATGAGTGACAAAGTGCCTTGCTCAAGGGCACACGCACCATGACCCCGCCAGGACTCGAACCCACGACCTGCAGCTTTACCCACAGACCACGAATCAGTGCCCTTAACCACGAGGCCACAGCACTCCAGAAAATTAAGACAAAATATTGCTTTGCTCTCCTTCAACAGTGTCTTGTGTCGCAACACGGAGAATTGTGTCCTTAGGCAGGATATCTTACTCTGACTGTCCCCTAGCTATCTAATTTCTTATTTTTGTAACAGCAAATGAAGTCAGAGTTTGAAGCCCACGAGACCGTGCTGTCCAACATCAACAACAGAGCCACGGCCCTGATGGAACAGACCAGCAGCACGGCCAATCAGAGACTCCACCAGCAAGTGGAGATACTACGGGTGAGCTGATTGGTTGAATCAGAACCAAGAAGAAAACAATTACAAGATTTACAGTTGGGCTGTGAGGGCTGAAACAGAAATCGACTTTTCTGCCCTACTCAAAAACTCAGTGTTGAGCCCACCGGCTAAATATGAAACAAGATGGTTGGGACGAGTTGTTAGGTTTGAGATTCATTTCGATATTGATTGGAGATTGAGGTTTTACATTTTTTCCCCCAAGTTTGACCTCTTTTTCAAATTCTGAAAATTCTCAAGTAGTCAATATTGCCTTCTGTGTGGCATTCTTTTCATAACATCCTACAGACATGCAACTTTTCCTCGGATCAGCTGATTTCCTCTTTTGTTACTTCCCATGTGTGCCATTGAAAATAGAAAACACTGTTCAAAGTCTGGGAAAAATTTGAATTTCCTCTTTTTTTTGTGATTTCCCAGTTGCATGCCTGATCCTAAGAAAAGCTACATCTGTGACCTGTTGGGATTGCTTTTAATGTAAATTTTGTGTCTTGGTTATCACAGAAAAATATGGACGAGCTGCAGCACAAGTTCCGCAAGTTCCAGAAGCCGTCGGACTTTGAGCCCAAGATGGCCCACGTCAAGGGGATCCTGGACAACGTACAGGAAGGCATCGGGGTCCTGGTGGTCAAGAACAGAGAGCCGGAGGTCATCAAGACACAGCAGGACGCGTGCATGGTGAGCTGCATCCAGTCGGGACTGGTTGAAACTTGTTTAGACCAGTGTGATAGTAATAGTATTGTTGGCATTGATACAGTCAGTACTGGTTTGAACTGGCTTTGACTGATATGTTCGTGTTGGTGATCAAGAACATAGAGGTCGGTGGTCATCAAGACACAGCAGGATGCATGCATGGTGAGTTGCATCCAGTCGGGACTGGTTGAACCTCGTTTAGACCAGTTTGATAGTAATAGCATTGTTGGTATTGGATCCAGTCAGTACTGGTTGGAACTGGTTTTGAGATGTTCGTGTTGGTGATCAAGAACAGAGGGTCCGTGGTCATAAAGACTGGGCAGGATGCATGCATGGTGAGCTGCATCCAGTCGGGACTGGTTGAACCTTGTTTAGACCAGTTTGATAGTAATAGCATTGTTGGCATTGGATCCAGTCAGTACTGGTTGGAACTGGCTTTGACTGATATATTCATGTTGGTGATCAAGAACAGAGGGTCGGTGGTCATAAAGACAGGGCAGGATGCATGCATGGTGAGCTGGATCCAGTCAAGACTGGTTGAACCTTGTTTAGACCAGTTTGATAGTAATAGCATTGTTGGCATTGATCCAGTCAGTACTGGTTGGAACTGGTTTTGGGATGTGCGTGTTGGTGATCAAGAACAGAGGGTCTGTGGTCATAATGACACAGCAGGATGCATGCATGGTGAGCTGCATCCAGTCAGGACTGGTTGAACCTTGTTTAGACCAGTTTGATAGTAATAGTATCGTTGGCATTGATCCAGTCAGTACTGGTTGGAACTGGTTTTGGGATGTGCGTGTTGGTGATCAAGAACTTAGAGGTCGGTGGTCATCAAGACAGCAGGATGCATGCATGGTGAGCTGCATCCAGTCGGGACTGGTTGAACCTTGTTTAGACCAGTTTGATAGTAATAGTATCGTTGGCATTGATACAGTCAGTACTGGTTGAAACTGGTTCTGACTGATACCTTCATGTTGGTGATCCAGAACAGGGGGTCGGTGGTCATAAAAACAGGGCAGGATGCGTGCATGGTGAGCTGCATCCAGTCGGGACTGGTTGAACCTTGTTTAGACCAGTTTGATAGTAATAGCATTGTTGGCATTGATCCAGTCAGTACTGGTTGGAACTGGTTTTGGGATGTGCGTGTTGGTGATCAAGAACAGAGGGTCCGTGGTCATAATGACACAGCAGGATGCATGCATGGTGAGCTGCATCCAGTCAGGACTGGTTGAACCTTGTTTAGACCAGTTTGATAGTAATAGTATCGTTGGCATTGATCCAGTCAGTACTGGTTGGAACTGGTTTTGGGATGTGCGTGTTGGTGATCAAGAACAGAGGGTCTGTGGTCATAATGACACAGCAGGACGCATGCATGGTGAGCTGCATCCAGTCGGGACTGGTTGAATCTTGTTTAGACCAGTTTGATAGTAATAGCATTGTTGGCATTGATCCAGTCAGTACTGGTTGGAACTGGTTTTGACTGATGTGTTCGTGTTGGTGATCAAAAACAGAGGGTCGGTGGTCATAAAGACAAGGCAGGATGCATGCATGGTGAGCTGCATCCAGTCGGGACTGGTTGAATCTTGTTTAGACCAGTTTGATAGTAATAGCATCATTGGCATTGGATCCAGTCAGTACTGGTTGAAACTGGCTTTGACTGATATGTTCGTGTTGGTGATCAAGAACATAGAGGTCGGTGGTTATCAAGACACAGCAGGATGCATGCATGGTGAGCTGCATCCAGTCGGGACTGGTTGAACCTTCTTTAGACCAGTTTGATAGAAATAGCATTGTTGGCATTGGATCCAGTCAGTACTGGTTGGAACTGGTTTTGACTGATACCTTCATGTTGGTGATCAAGAACAGAGGGTCGGTGGTCATTAAGACACAGCAGGATGCATGCATGGTGAGCTGCATCCAGTCGGGACTGGTTGAATCTTGTTTAGACCAGTTTGATAGTAATAGCATTGTTGGCATTGATACAGTCAGTACTGGTTGGAACTTGTTTTGAGATGTTCGTGTTGGTGATCAAGAACAGAGGGTCCGTGGTCATAAAGACAGAGCAGGATGCATGCTTGGTAGATTTGGATCCAGCCGGAACTGGTCAGAACAGGTTTCACCCCATTTGATCAAGAACAGGGGCCAATGTCATGGAGCTGCTTAGCACAAAAAAAGACTGGCTTATAAACGCAGGTTATCAGCCAAAACTCCATGTGGTTTTCATGCTAAGCAAACAACAGTTGAATACCAATCACGAGCAATAAACATCACATGGAGTTTTGGCTGGTAACCTGCTTTTATAAGCCATACTTTTTTTGTGCTAAGCAAATTTTTTTTGCTTAGCAGCGCTGTGAAATTGGCCTCAGAGGGTCTGTGGTCCTAAAGACAAGCATGCAGGATGCATGCTTGGTAGTTTTGGATCCAGCCGGAACTGGTCAGAACAGGTTTCACCCCATTTGGGTGCGTTTGGCATTGGATGTAGTCAGGACCCTCAAGAACTGGCTTAGTTTATCTGGTTTGGTTGTGATAGCATTGTTGGCTTGAACCAGTTTAAACCAGTTCTGTCTGGCATGGTTTGTTGACTGGTAGATTAGATCTAGTCAGGGCCACTTGAAACTGGTTACATAATGAGTCTAAAAACTAGGTGTAACAATTTGCCGAGCCTTTAACATCGTCTCTCTTCTAATATTGATGAATTTTAAATTTTTTTTAGGGCTTCTACAAGACACTGAGTGAGATCAAGCACGAAGTAGAGTACGTCATCAAGACCGGCCGCAGCGTGGTCGAGCGCCATCAGCTAGACAACCCGGCCGACCTGACCGAACGCCTGAACACCTTGAAGCTCCTGTACAACCAGCTCGGCAAGCGGGTGACGGAGGGCCGGGACGAGCTTGAGAAGGCCCTGTCGCTGAGTCGCAAGGTCAAGAAGGAGCTGGTGAGCCAGGGAGAATGGTGCCAGACTAAGGAGACGGAGCTGGGCCGGCGGTGCGAGGAGGACAAGGAGGGGACGCCGCAGAGCTTGAACCAGGAGATCGAGTGGTGCAAGGTGAGTGGCTTGGGTCTGTTTTCTGACCTGAGACTTAAGAGGTAGGGGGTGAGGGGGTAAAGGAGGGGGGGGGGGGGGGGGGTTGTTGAGGGGGTGGTTGGGGGTCTCAATGTGAATCCTTTCCTCTCTGGCGTGCAGCATCTACTGTGTCCTGCTCAGTAATCAAAAGCAACATATCATGGGTTAGTGAACATTAACCCTAACCCACCTCAATCTTCAAAATCCTCATGGTGGTTTTGTAAGATTTTGGAGGATTGGGGATGAATGGTGTTTGAGAAACATGAGGATTTTGGAGGTTTGAGGATGAATGGTGTTGAAGCAAATGAGGATCTTGGAGGATTGAGGATGAATGGTGTTGAAGCACATGAGGATTTTGGAGGATTGAGGTACCATGCTTCTGTGTGATTAGGTCTTTATTCGTCGACTTTCCTACCGGTATGTGCCGTGAGGAAAAGATCCTAAAAATTTAGAGATCGAAAATGAAAAGTTCAAAGGTTGTTTTTGCGACACTTATCATCAAAAACTGGAGAACGAAATCAGGAAGTGTAGAAGAAAAAAGGTCCTTCATCTATTTAGAATCCAGAGAATCTCCAAAAGCGCCTCGAAAAAATTGTAAAGTCGTTTTAAGGGATTTGTGAAGAAAATTTAGAAGGCTTGTTTTTTTGGCAATACATGTCAACAGAAACTAGAGCATGACATCAAGAAGCACCAGACCTCCATGGGCGAGTGCAAGAAGCTTGCCGACAAGCTGATTGGCCTAGCTGAGGAAGGCAGCCTGGGCGCCATCAAGGACGACTGCGAAGACATCGAGGGACGGCTGGCCAAGCTGTCCGGCCAGATCAGGGACAGGCACATACAACTCAAGGTGAGTGGAGTAGCTGATGAACTGGTCAAATTCTGAGGAAACCGTTCAAATATACAAATGTTGACTGCCATAAGGGGTGTAGTAAAACTAGCTTCCTGAGGTGACCCATGGAGCATTCTGTTTTCCGAAGGCGAAGCTGAGGGAAATGGACGCTCCATGTATCACTTAATGAGGCTAGGTAACCCATTAGCACCTTTACTACATTGTACTACATTTTACTACATTGTACTACATTGTACAACATTTTACTACATTGTACTACATTGTACTACATTGTACTACATTGTACTACATTGTACTACATTTTACTACATTGTACTACATTGTATTACATTGTATTTATTCAGGTGACCCATATATATATGGAGCGTTTTGTTTTCCCGAGGCAAAGCTGAGGGAATTGGAACGCTCCATGGATCACTTAATGAGGCTAGGTAACCCATTAGCACCTGTACTACATTGTATTACATTGTGTTTATTCACTGAAGAAGCACTAAAACCATGGAGTGCTTGTGCGCTTTCGGGTGCTGTAGTAAGTAATATGCAGGGCGGTTTTGGACGCTACAGTGACTAAAGGGTTAAGCAGTCTTCTATCGTTTGTCGGGTAGACAGTTCAGATATCAGCTTGCAGTTGGGTCAACCATAGTTTGGTCTCCTGGTCCAAGTTAGTTAGACCGTCTGCACCATGTGGAGATTGGTAGATGAGGCAGTGGGATAGAATATGGTCTGCAGTTTGGTCTGCAGTCCTGCATTCACAGGTGGTACTGTCCGCGAGGCCCCATTTGTTGGCTCTGAAGCGCCCCACGCCAGTTCGAAGGCGGTTTAGTCTTGTCCAGGCCTTGCGTGTTAGACCCATTCCAATGATGTTGGTGTGGTCCTGGACGAACTGATGTAGGCGCGTAGTGGATCCTTGTCATGATTGTCCCATTTGTCTGCATTTGTTAAGCAGTAAATATTTGTTTCATAGTGCCTCACTCACAGATTCTGCTTAGTTTGACAGATAAATTATTGATTTAACCAAAATCCAATTCGAACGGAATTCTATTTCGATTTAAAAGTAGTTGGAAATTTGCATAGACTTTTCCAATCTAACCCAAAATGAAGTCTTTGCACCCAAATTTGTAACCCATGGAAAAAGCACATGCAACACACTCCGTAAGCATGTTCTCATAGACATCTGTTAACTGCGTTGGTTGCAATGTGTGTCATACTTTTTCCAGAGTGAAGGCCGGTTCATACTTCATGCAAATGTGATGCGAATTTGACATCACGAAGCATTCGCTGCGAAATTCGCCGAAGTTGAAATGTGTTCAACTTTTACGAATTTGCAGTGTGAAAACTTGCCCTGACTTCGCAAATTCGCGTTCGCGTTCGCGTTCGCGTTCGCGCTGAGTATTGTACAATGTAGTATAGTCGTTTTGGCCGATACCAAATTTCATGTGACACATTCTCGGCCAATCAGGAGACAATCTCCTCGTGAGATGCTAAAACTTTTATATTTCTATTTTTGATCTTTTTTAAATGCCTTTTGATGATTCTTCCCCCCTTTTTCCCCAGAAATACTTAGATCAGATAGCAGAGTTCCGTAGAAGTCTTAGCGAGGTGAAGCCGTGGCTTAGCGAAGCTGAGAAGATCTTAGACGCCTCGGACAAACTTCCCAGAGAGGAGAAAGTCAGTGAGGAGGAGGTGGCTAGATGCATGGTGAGTATCTACCTCTGATCCTAGAACCTTGAGGACATTTTAGACTCTTCAGGTTATGGGCTCCGTGCGCCGACAAAAGAGGGCGGCCTTTTACCTAGCAACGACGTCCCATGGGCGGGACATTTCGCTGGTTGACGCGCACCGTTACTTGTGTGTGAGGCACGTACACCAGGGGATTTTTACTATGTACATGCAGTGGTCGCGCTTCGTGGCAAATGAATTGCAGTCAGGCAAGATGGTGTCAATCGGTCACCCCCAACTGTACTTCCTTTGCCGGTGAGGGGGTACTTGTGAACGGAGCGGATTGACTCAAATGTTGTGAAATTCTCTTCGGAGACCTTCCAAGTACATTTTTGCATAATCCGAGTTCTACGTTTTTCTTCCAGATATTTACTGATTTTATTCCCTTTTTCCAAATTCTTGTCATATGTTATTGCATTGTTTGCTACTTTAATTGCTTAGTGCAGCTATTCTTTAACCCGTTCAATTTGGCATTTTAAAATACTTTTGGAGCATGTGTTTTCTTTCATTTTCTGTACTATAAAACAGTTTTTGTATTTTATGGTCCACCAAATGTGTGTTCATGTGTAAGCCTGAAGAAATTATTTTTTTTTATCTGTATATCTTTGAACAATTATTAAAAATCCATTAAACAGAAAAATTGTCCCAAGTTGACAGAAGTTTGATGACAGTTTTAACAAACTTCTAGCTAGGCCAGGACAATTTTTGTTTTGAGATGGACTTTAATAATTGTCTGAAGATAAAAAAAAAATGGGGAAAAAATTTAGAAAAAAAGAATAATGCAACAATGAAACCACGAAGAAACCTCGGCATAACATTCCAGAATAAATCAGGCAGGGCCCCAAAATCATCAACTTGTTCTTTAATGTAAATCAAATTAGGTTTTTGCCCTTCACCGACGTATAAACACTGTATACTCAGTGTGTTACCTCCCGAGTGAAAGTTGGAAAAAATCACTCGGGTGGGACTCGAACCCACAACCTCCTGCTTTCTAGTGCAGACGTCTCACCACTCTTTTGAAGGGCAAAACCTAATTTGATTTACATCACCCCGACGCAAAATTCCATATTATGAATTGTTCCAGAATGGTCGAGATTTGAATCCTGGACACAATGGTGGACAGTAAGAAAAGTACTGCCAACCTAACCTGACTTGATGATTTAACTTCTTAGTCATCTTCTTTATGTGACACTCATTTCCTTCTTTTTTTTGAAGAAACTACAAGAGGAATCGGAGGACCTAGCCACCAGGGTGGAGGAGATCCGTGACCAGGCCTTGGAGCTCTTACGCCTGGGCGGTGATTGCCGGCGCTCAACCGAGCCGGACCTCATCAGCCTGAATCAGAGATGGGAGGACGTCTGCCAAAGGGCTAAGGTAAAGGACATAAATTCCCAAGAAAATGCTTGAATGACATTTCATTTCCATACTAGGACATAACCTCGGATAAAAGATGGCATAGATGCCAGATGAATTTGGAAAAAAAAATATATGTCAATAAACCCTCAACCTTAGGCCAAAAAAAAAAAAATATTCGGTCTCTGGTTAGACCAAAGTTCCGGAATTGACGCGGCCACGCGGCTTTTTTTTTTTTTTTGGCTTTTTTTTTTTCTTTCTTCAAGCTTGGATTGTACAGACAAGGTGGGTACTATTTTGCTTTTTTGGTGTCCTCATGTACATTGGTGTCCTCCATAATTTACCTTGGTGCTTTCGATCATTTGCCTTGGTGCAATTTCCCATTCCTTGGTGCTCTTTGGTAAAAAACATTGAGGATGTGTGGAAATAGAGGGCGCTGTTGGAGCTACCATGGAACATTTTGGAAAAAAAAAAGATCGACGCGCATGATTAAAATCGACGCGCGCGCTGACCAGAGACCGACTTATTTTTTTTTTTGGCCTTAAAGGCAATATGCAACACTTGCAAATATCAAAAAACAAAACTACCAAATTATTAGGAAATACCTTATTTGACTGTAGGTGACTAAAAGTCTCAAGCATCCTGTGAAATCATGGCACCTGGTGTGCTGTCATTTTCAAGAAAAGTAGAATTTGTGTACCAATTTCCAACGATGGTTGGCCAACCATCGTTGAAAACAAATTGATTTTTTTTTTTCTTTCAAATACTGCCCCCAATTTACCAAATTTGGCTAGTCCACATTTTGTTTGCAATCGCTTACACATCCGTGAGTGGGTGCAAGTCAGCTAGTCTTGCTCCCTGACCTGACAATTCCCCGACATCTATAAATTGCTCCATTTCGTCTGAAGTGTAAGGTCAGGGAACCAGACTACAAGAACAGCATTTTTTCCCCTTGGTTTTTCCAGCATCTATGATCACAAAACTGTAAACAGGTCAGTGTAACAATATTTACTATAAATGAAATACTAACCCCCAAATCTGTCCATTTCTGAAAATTGCAGCAAAAGCAAATGTTGTATATACCTTGAAGTTTCTTTGGAGGGTTTAAGTTAAAGTGCAAATGTTTTGCTAGAAGTCAACTCGTAACATTTTTTTAGTAGTCGATTAAAATGCATACACTTAGGCTCACTAAGTTGTTTGTAATTTGATACATTAAGCCTTTTGTTTGGTGAGTAATTTTTTTGTAAGTAATAGCTCATGAACAGAGAAAACAGTTTTGCATTACAAAGAGGGAAACCAGTTATCTGAAGACACTTAAGTGTACAAGAAATTAAACAAATGGAAATATTGAGCAAGTAATTTTGTGAACGATTTAAAAAAAAGAAAAAACAGACAGATTTATAAGTTCCAGAGAAAAGTGCTTGAATTTTTGATTTTTGCTCCTTCGAATTGTTAGCGGCTTTGAATATTGACAATTTTGGCTTAAAGAGGTTGTGGAATGCTCGAAGACATTTCCGTCATTTTTCGGGTATATGTAGCCTAAGGTGTGATGAAATTTAAAACGACTATTGTGTCTGTCATGAAATGAGTACAAAAGGTACTTTTGAGGCTGTTTTTCAGGTCCTGTTTCGACGCGAACGTGCAATCTGTGTAAAAGTCGTCGTTGGGGGCAGCAAACAAAACATAGTAAATCATGACGTAATAAACAGGACTCGTTTATACTAGGCTGCATCGGGAGTCCTGTTTATTACGTCACGATTTACTATTTTGTTTGCTGCCCCCAACAACAACTTTTACACAAATTGCACGTTCGCGTCGAAACAGGACCTGAAAAACAGCCTCAAAAGTACCTTTTGTACTCATTTCATGACAGACACAATAGTCGTTTTTATTTCATCACACCTTAGGCTACATATACCCGAAAAATGACGGAAGTGTCTTCGAGCATTCCACAACCTCTTTAATTTTCAAAGTTCAACTCTTGAAATGTTTTTTATCTAAGAAGTATAAGATCTAGAGAAAACCCCCCAGATATATTGGCAACGTACAATAAGTGTAAATGTTAATCACGCCCCTATTTGATGAAGTTTTGTTGAACTGTGAAAAAAAAGGTCGAATTGAAGTTTGTGAGTGAAATCATTGACAGAATGCACGGAACCAACAACACACAGATTGTCAACTATTTTCCAGAACGTAATGAAATCAGAAACCGCCCATGTCGCTATCTCTGGAATGTGTTATCATTGAAAGAATGCGGTGAAGATAAAGTGCCGAAGAATTTACAGAGTGAACACATTGAAGTGAATGTCTATGGCCTCATTTAGGGCGCGAGGGTCTTGACGACCAGATGTTATTGTGTGTAGTGGGAATCTAAACACGCCCGCCTCTTATGTCAGAATTCTGTCTGCGGTGCGCGATGATGAACGACCCTTTCCGCAGCCAGATGTAACCGGTTGGTTATTATAACCACAGGCAAAATATTTACAAACAGTCAAGAAAGAATTGTTTCTCAAGTTTGCTCGTCAAAAATGTGCTTTCTTGAAAGGCTTGCCACTCGACTTGCAAGTGGATGGTTTGCGATTAAATTTCTTTAACTACGGAAGAGTTGACGTTTACTCTGAATTTAAACAATGTAATTGCTCTCCCTTTTGGTGAAAATAATATAAAAATTTAGGATGCCAAAAAACAAGCCTGTAATGGTTTGAGAAACGTTGACAAGTTTGATGCAGGCCTCAGTGATATTTCAACACTATGAATTTCTAAAAATGTAAATAATACCGAGGTGCCCTGGAAGAGGAGGTTGCTAAATACGAAAAAAGAAAAAGTCCTCTGAGGATTCCGTGATTAGGGTCGAGGGGCAGTAACATTCCACCGATGCCTTTGGTTCTGTTATTTAGGAGAAGCAGCTGGAGCAGAAGACTATCGTTGCTGAGATGGACGAGGCGGCACGGCAACTAGAGGAGGCAGAGCGGAGGCGCGCTGAGGAAGAGGAGAAGAGGAAAGAGCAGGAGGAAAGATTGAAGGAAGAGCGGCTAAAGGAGGAGGTGCGATTGAAGGAGGAAGAGCGATTGAAGGAAGAACGCTTGAAGGAGGAAAGACTGAGGGAGGAGGAGCGATTGCAGGAAGAGCAATTGAAGGAGGCAGAACAGTTGAGGGAAGAGCAATTGATGGAGGAAAGACTAAGGGAGGAAGAACGATTGAAGGAAGAGCAACTAAAGGAGGAAGAGCGGTTGAAGGAAGAGCGATTGAAGGAGGAAAGACTCAGGGAGGAACAACGATTGAAGGAAGAACAAGAATTGAAGGAAGAACAAGAAAGACTTGAGGCAGAAAGAGAACAAGAGAGATTGAAACGGGAAGAGGAGGAACGCCAGGCTGCTGCTGCTGTGGAAGCAATGCCCAAGGAGGAAGATGAGCATCTGGTAGCCATGGAAACTGAAGTCGTTGTGCAGTCATCCCCCGATCACATGGACGTCCCTGACGACACAGAGACCTCTGCGCAAATCTCGGAAGACATCATTGACGAGGCGGTGCAGTGCGAGTCCATCGACGAGCTGGAAACTCAGCCCGACCTTTCATCCTTGCAGTGGGTCACCCCCGGCGAGTTGCTGGCCCAGGAGGTGCAGGAAAACTCTGACAAGACCAACTCTCTGATCGAAGAGCAGTGTGAGCAGCAGATCGTGGAGACCGTCGAAGCAGCCGTCAATTTTGACGAGATGTTCGCTGGAAAGGACGATGAGGAAGTTAAAGATGAGGAGGCGGAGAGGCACGTTGCAGAGTTCCACGTGGTCTTGGAGCAGACCTACCAAGCCATTGACCTGTGTGATCATAGACTGGTGGACGGGATGGACCTGCGACCGGAGGACTTTGACCAGGATGCCGAGCAGAGTGTGCAGGTAGGATTCATTGTTTCATTTATAGATGGCTTTGTGAATATCACAAAATGTATGCAACAATCCTTAGCATATTAGAGAGTGATTGTTAAGTAAAAATATTATTGGCTTTCTTGTCCTTTTGTGACATCGTAAAATATCAAAAGAAATGCCATCGCCAAATGTGTGTTCTTTTGAAAAGGATTCTTTAGCTCTCAATTGAACAGATTTACGGTTTCTGTGAATTAACCTGGAAACTTTGTGTTTCTTGTTTTAAAACAATAAATAATATCGTAAATTGTAAAAGTAACAGAGTCTAATGATTCAATACTAGTATTTTTTTGGTTACGGTTCCCATGTTATTTTGCCATTGAGAATGATAGGATTAAAGAGTCAGGCTTTCTAATTTCTAGTTCCATGCTACTTTCCGATCAGCTAGTAGTTGGCGGCAGCATTTTATTTTAATATGCATGACGTCACAATGACTGCGTTTTAACTATTACATCGAATTGAGTGACAACGCATGTTCGTTAATTTAGTGCTCAGGCTTGTGACTTCAAGGTTAATTATTCTATTGTAATTATTCAGGATACCGATGAGGCAATCGGTGCCCTGCAGCCCGACGTAGAGAACCTCATATCGCAAGGCGAGGCCCTGATCAGCGAGGTCCAGGAACGCGACCCGAGACAGTCGCGACACCTGGAGGCCAGGCTGGGCACACTGCGCAATCGCTGGAACACGCTGCAGGGCGACGCCGAGCAGCGCAACGACGCGCTGAGGGAGGTCGTGCCTCGGTGGACCGCTTACGAGAAGGAGGTCAGCGAGATGGGGGCGTGGCTAGAGGAACTGGGGCGGAGGGCGGATGAGGGGAAGGAAGATGAAGACACCATCAAGGTAAGACAAACATTTTTGTTTACAACCGTTGGCCAATTTTACAGAACAAATTGTACAATAGGCCGTGCACAACGGCCAATTCAAGATCAACACACGGTCCGCCTCCACAGATATTGTGTGCGTGTACAAAAGGCACGAGGGATTAGCATGTTTAGACGTCACCCGGAGGCGAGTCGAGGCAATCTGGACGTCTTAACCCATCAGCCGTGCCTGTGTATAAAAACAGCCAGTGCGTGTTATCACGTCCTCCGATGTGAACTGGTTAAAGCTATAGTCCATCATTTGCAGCCATCCGAAAAAGTAACTGGCGTATTATTGTTGAAAAACATACTTGGTTGAAAGATAGTAAGTGGACTAAACTCCCTGTGAAATTATTCTTTCTGGCAAGCTGTAATTTTGAAGTAATCAACGAAAGAAGGCCTTTCCAACGGTGCATCTTAAGACGCACCGTAGTAAAATTTAAATTGGTAGTTCTTTTTGTTATTCGGCGCAGCGCGCGCAAGCATTGGCATGACGCACAGGCGCGCACGGTTGCTATAATTCGTTGGATCAGTGCGCGACATCGCATATAGCTGCAATTCAAAACAATTCAAAACATGATTCAGCAACTTTTGATTTGAAATTGAGATCCTAGAATGCTGTTTTTCTCGGAATATACAGCTGAAGCTGAGCTGAAACTTCATCAGGTTAGTTGTTCAGTATCCTTCATTAGATTTTGAACACTTTTGTTGCTTCAAACGAACAAAATGCACAAATTACAAATGATGGACTATATCTTTAACAAAAAAAATCTCAGGGGTTTCAAATTTAGTACTGAACCACTAACCCCATTGATTCTCAAGTGAAAAGAAAGTTTCTTCAACTTCATACGCAAATTCTTGCATAAAAATCTCAATGTAAACAAGGTTTTTTTCATGCATTCTTTTATTTTATCAAAGCATTGCACCACAAATTGTGAGCTTTTTTCTTGCATCCTTATGTGCATTTCCTAGTAATGTCCAAGTACCTTATGCTAATAAATGCCAGAAAGAATGCAGTATCCAGACGCCACTTTTGTGGTTGTATACCAAGTCTATGGACAGTTGAGTGCATTTTCAGAGTATTTTCTAACAACATTGGTAATGTTTCTCAGTCCTAAATTCATGCCTTTTCAACATTTTTGCAATGACTGACCTTGATTGAGATAATATATGATGAAAAAAGTGGCGTCAGGTTGCAACATTCTTTCCAAAATGCCAACTACAAAAGGAAGCTAAATTAACTATTACAGATGACAAATTTCTTAATTTTAATCAGAAAATTCTGTGATTTAAATTTTTTTTTTTTTTTTAAATTTTTTCATCAATGCTCCCTACATTCCTTATTACATTTTGCTTTCAATGAAAAGTGAAACCTGAATCGGAAAGATTTCCATATACGAAGTTCACTAATTTTCCTCTGTATTGACTAACAAGCCCCCAGATAGCAATTTCATGTCATCAAAGTCAATTTGAGCAGTGAGAAAATACAAGCATTTTCTTAGAAAACACTTAAAATTTTTCAGTCCAATCTAATAGGGTTTGTACACAGGGTGTTGAGTGAACTTCGTATATGGAAATCTTTCCCCTGAATCAAGTACATGCCCCGAAAATCTGTCCTCTCAACTTCTTCAAAAAGTTAATAAAATATCCCGAGGAGATTGCGTAATTGAATTACGCACCATTCCACTGGTTGTGTTTTTATTGCCCGGGAAACTTGAGGAGCTCTGCGAAATAAAAGCCCCCAAGAATTTTTTTTCCGCAAAATATGGCATTTGTGAACTTGTTCTTCTCTTTTTTTTTCCATACCACATGAACATGTGCATACAAGCAGTAGGGTATAAACTTGGTGATATAGATAATAATATTTTCTTACAATTATTTCTGAAGTTTGTGGCCTGGCATGTTTACATAGGGTGAAGTTGTGGTCAGAAGACAGATTTTTTTATATGTACCCTACCGGTATTTGTCAGGGCTAAAAAAGAGTGCTCATCTCAAATTTTCTGCATTCTAGTCTGTGAAAGCATTTGACATTCAGAACCTGACATCTCAAACTTGATTTTGATATTTCATTTTAGGAACAAAAAAACTGTGTCAAATTTTGCCCTCTGTGATAGGGTAGATTTAGTAAATATGGCTACGAAGATTCATTAATTTTGAAACATAAAACACAAGGGTTGTGGAAAATCATTGCCTCATAGTCAATATACAACCAGATAAAAGTAACGATGCAACTTTCAGAAAAAATTCCATACATGAACATCACTAGTTTTCCCTGCAGTGACCTATCATCCATCTGTAAGCGATGACATGTCCTAAAAAGTCAAATTTAGCAGGGACAATCTTGAAGCATTTACTGAGAAAACACTTAAATTTTTCAGACCAGTCACATAGGGTTTGTGCACAGGGTGTCAAGTGATGTCCAGGTATGGAAGTCTTTCCCAACTGTCCATGTATGGTTGAAATTTGTACAATAAACAACAACATAGGTTTAATACCTCACCTATAGCACAGAGCAGAAAGACAAATCTTGACGACCGTTAACAGCAAATTATCGAATATAGTACATGTATATGCGTGCTACAGTTGAGCAGACAGAACAACATACATTGTCAGTCAACAAATTGTATAATTTACAGATTAATGACATTGTAAATACAATGTGAACGAAATAAAGGAACATGTAACTTATGTATCTGGCACAAATCAGCTTGTATGCATGGTATGGGTCGTTCCTTAATAGGTCTCGTTCAAATGATGTCATTTCCGACAGACATCCACGTGCATCGGCATTTTGAGCGTCAACTTGCATAACGCGCATCAGCTGCGTGGTATTTCGAACACATCTCGAGCAACAAGCCTGCGTGTTTGGAACATTTTCCAACACTGCGCAATGCGTACTTGATTGCTTAAAATACGCAGTTGCAGTTCTCCTACAGAGATGGCCGTCATTGAACAAGCCCTATTAAGGGTCCAAAGTGTGACCTTTTTTCTGTCCCTGTCACCTCTGTAGTTTGTAAGTTGTCATTCAAGGATCGTTAAGAATGACTTCCAACTTTTTTTTTTACATTTCTTGGGTAGGTGGTTTATCATTATTCATAATCACAACTGCGTTAAGTAAGGAGTGCATCAAACTCTTAGACGTCAGATGTAACAGGGACCCCAAATTTGTACAAATTATGTAGTTGACCACAAATTAATAGAATGACCCATAGACTGCCAATGTGTAATACACTTGTTACAATTGCCATCCCAAAAAAGTATATTACAATTGGCACATTAATATTTTCCATATATAAGTACATACAAAAACGTATAAAAATACAAGGCAATTAGCATTTAATTACGAGCTGCAATTATTTACAGGCTGTTCTATTGAATTTGTACACATACTCTGCCATTCTTGGTCTTACATGTGGGTCTTTCCTCACTACTGGCTGCAAAGTTGGGATTTAAGAGTGGGACATTGAAGGGTCCAGCAAAACAAATACATTGTGTTCATTTTTTTGGGTACATTCCTAAGGCCTTAAAGGGGCCATGACTTGAATTTTACTTGGAAACATAATTTGTGCACCCTGCTATTCTTAAATGTATGAAATCTAGTTGACAGCCCGTTTTGGTCAATTTTAGTGGAAAGTATCCTGACAAATGAGGGCATTATTGCTGTGATGTCATTTCAGGAAGACACTCTTCAATTGATAGGTTTTCTGTTCAAATTGTTAACCCAATATTTGCTCATTGAAACCATTTTTGAGAAAACTTTGCTCATTGGCGTACTGCCATGTACTGAAAGAACAACGAATCACCAAATAAAAGAAAATTTACAACAGCAAAGTATCCAATATTCTGGCAAATGTTGGTGCTGAAATAGCCGTAACATTGAGGTTTCTGCCTGAAATGACATCACACTTTTGCTCATGAATTTGCAAATTTTCATTAGCATAAAAACCAAAAAGGCACCAAAATACCCTTAAAAATGGCAAAATGAAAATTGAAAGTAAGGTTAAATGGGACGAAAAGGTCTACTTTTAAGGATTGCATTAAAAATATTACATGACATTGGCCCATTAATGATTATGCGTACAAAAAAATACAGAAAACTTTCTGTGTACTCAATTTAATACAGGGGTCATCATACATCATTACTTAAGTATGGACATAATCAGCATCTTGTAACATCTGTCTCGAAAGTCTTGCATGTGTAAATTCTTGGTGAGCACAATCCTCAACAATTTGATGGCAATGTACAAGGGGAACAGAGGACAAACAGCTTGATATTATTATCCTGCTTCATTTTCCAATCCAATGACACACTTTTGTACCCCTCTGATGTGGAAAGACCTGTACAATGTTTAACAAAACAAAAGTCAATCTCTCTTAAAATTTAGATTTTAGTTCAAAAATAAGATTAATATTAACAAGTACATGTACCTCTTTGTGTCTACATTCAATGTGTACATTAAAAAGCAAAATACTAGTACAGAAAATATGCTGCACATTTCATTTCTGTTTATCCACACATCAGTTATGTACATATTTTTACCATTACATGGCAAGTTAAGTTTGAAATACAAGGAAATGAAGGTTTTAATTTTTTTTTACAGCTGCAAGTATCTCTTAGAGCGCACAAATATTTCATACACTCAATGACATACATTTGTACGTATTTACTTAGCAAAACAACTAATGTTATTCTTTTCTCCGTTTAAAAAGGCAATAATAATGGTTTGCCATATCTGGCTAGCCAGACAGATAACAATCTTGAGGAAATGATTTTTCTTTGTCAAAACTTTTTTTTTTTTTTACATCAACTATTTTTTAAACATCAACTTCCTTGTACATACATGCATTGAAAAAAAACACACTATGAAATCATTGCATCAATATAACATGTTACCCATAAGCACCTGCATTGCCCAATTTCACAGTGTTGCTAAGCACGCAAATTTGCTTAGCACAAGAAAAGTCTGGCTTATAAAAACAGGTTATCAGCCAAAACTCTGTGTGATTTCATGCTAACTCCCTAGGGTGTGTGCAAAATCGTATTGAATTTGGAGGATTGAGGACTGTTAGGGTTAACAACAGCTGAATTCTAATCACAAGCAATAGGCCTATACATCATGCAGAGTTTGGGCTAGTTACCCGCTTTAATAAAGTAAATTTTTTTGGTGATTAGCAAGTTTTTGTGCTTAGCAGCACGGTGAAATTGGCCCCAGAATGTCATTGTATTACATTGTTTTTAGTCACTGAAAAATCAATAAAACAATTGAGTGCTCAGGTAGTTTAGGGCACTACAGTGAGTAATAGGTACATGTAGGGCGGTTTCAGGCGCTACAGTAACTAAAGGGTTAAATGAAGAATTTTTTAAAATTAAAATCCAGGAAAATTTGTTATGACTCTATCCCCCTTGAGTGATTTACTAGGAACCTTCCTCACTCCTGCAAATCTCAACACCGTATTGTAAACTCAACACCCAAAGTGTTGGACTCTGATTATGATGGTATGCCTAACCCCATGGAAAGCATAATCAATTTACGAGTGCAGTACTCACTCCAACAGATGCCAACAAACTCTGGTGTTGGAGTTTGACTGGATGGGGATTGTTAGGGTAAAAGGCATTACAGGTGAACAATCTCATCTACATGTACCATACATAGTACATGTTTAACAGGAACTTGGCTTAAAACCTGATCTGCGGTTAAAACAGTGTCATTTGATCTTTGCAATTCTTAGTAAGAAATACCGGTATCAAATGTTTTTTGTTTATCTTTGTAAAATCACATTTTTTCTCAGAAAATCAGGTTTTGGGATTTCTAAAAATCAGTGTGGTCAGAGTTGAGAAGTTCTTCTGAACTCGCAAACACTTTTGTTTTGAGTACAAATTTGATTCTTACATTCAAATCTTTTGTCTTTGTGCTAATTAAATTAGTATTTTTAACAAAACAATCTCATTTACGTGGTGTTTTCTATATGAAATAACCTGTATAGGACTAACACAGCCAATACAGATAGAAGCTACTTTTTAGGTGGATACATGCACGTTTTCTTACAGACGAGGCGCGCGCATTTTGGTAATCCTATTGGTCGAAGGAGCCCGGAGTGCGTGCTTGCTACCTGAACGCCAGTTTGCGCGATCGAGCCTGGTGCCACCTCAGAAAATTGCTGCCGCTGAATTAGTGACTTACGGCAATACTTGCTTTACGGCAATAGACAGTATACTCACAAGAATCTTTCCTACGTCATGTTTATAAACTTACATGTACAGTTTACAAATTTTAGTTACATGTACATCTATACTTTTTATGTACATATTCTGAATATTCTCCAGTGTTTTTTTTTTCAGGGAATGTACAAGTTGCCAAATTACAGGATTTGAAGCTTTTTAATATTGACAAAATCATTTCTAGTGGCGTGTATTTACACTTTCTGGCATGCCTCAAATATTCTACGAAAAGTAAGAGCCCATTTACATCTCTGTGTATTAACCCTAACCTCTGTTAGGTTTTCTTCAGGTACCCTGTGAAATGCAACATTATCTAACACAACTGAAATACAAATGTAAGAACCATGCTAAATGCAACAAACTGCAACAGTGGATTCTGTTGCATTGTAAGGTGAACACAGTAGCCACCAGCCTTGGCACCGCGCTGTTGCCCTACTATTTTGCAACCAAATGCAACAGTGGATTATGTTGTATCGCCTTGAAAATATGACCAAACACCCTGCTAAATGCAAGAAGATGCAAGAAAGCAACAGCTTTTTACCTTTGTTGCTATCCGTTGCATTTAGCAGCGTAAGGGTTGATCAAATTGTGTGGATAATCTGTTTCAACCTGACTTCATCTGTCTGATTCATTTTGTAATGTGTAAGTGTTGCCTTGTGTGTATATGTTATCTTAGTCAATAGGAGTAGAGACAGACACTACTTCTTTGGGCTTTTGTTGGGTGTGGCGTAGATGGCGTCGATTCCCGCTGCTCCTTGAGAAACTTGATTAGTTAAAGCTCATGTCTGCGTACTCATTTTCCTCGGTGTGCTCACCTTGTGATGCTTGATCTTGGAGTGATGATGCCATCTCTCGGGTGTCTGCAGATAGTTTGGGGTCGATTCCCGCTGCTCCTTGAGAAACTTGATTAAAGCTCATGTCTGCGTACTCATTTTCCTCGGTGTGCTCACCTTGTGATGCTTGATCTTGGAATGATGATGCCATCTCTCGGTTGTCTGCAGATAGTTTGGGGTACCTCAAGATGTTTTCGTTTACCTCAGCATAGACTACCATTTCGTGGCTACCATGTCCATTTTTGCCCTGTGAAGATGTTGGCTCCAAGTCGCTGGGAAGACTGCCAAGCCTGTGGCTGCTGTTGATCTTGTTAGCTGGTGGCGGCATGGTGAAATGCTTCACCTCTCCGCTCCCAGTCTTGTCTGGAATGGCGCACAGGACCGTCTCGCACTCGGTAGTCTCTCCAGACAGGTTGGGTTGGGTTAAGTGACTCTGGTCATCTCGTGGAAGGTTTAAGTATGACACATCATCCTCCACTGAGGATCCAGCAATGACCCTGTCTTGCCTTCTGGATTCCTGCACTGGGTTTCCTCCCTGGACCTGACGTGGTCTCTTTACCTCCCTCTTTCTCCCGACCAAGAAGCAGATGAGGATGAAGATGGCAACCAGTAGGAGAAGAATTGCCAATGCTCCTCCAAAGATAACACTAATGGGTAATTTCTGAGATGTATCACCGTCCTCTTGAACTGTTGCCAAGGCCGTGGTCGTGGATGATGTAGGGGACATCACAGTCACTGAAGGTGGTGAGATATACCTCGGTGTACCAATGGGTAATTTCTGAGGTGTATCGCCGTCCTCTTGAACTGTTGCCAAGGCGGTGGCCGTGGATGATGTAGGGGACATCACAGTCACTGAAGGTGGTGAGATATACATGTACCTCAGTGTTGGTGTCTGTCTCTGCAGAGATGATACCGAGCATGTCTGGCCAGTGGCTGCATCTCGACCAACTACACAAGTAAAATTCTCGTCACTGTCTTGCAGCACA